GAAACTTTAAGTGTTTTGTAATTAAAATTTTAGATGATTTCACTAAAAATTTGTTAGAAATTGCGGACAAAAATACAATAATTTGAAAACCATTTTTAATTGAAAAATGGTTTCAGATAGTTGAATTTTCAAAGAATATTATAAAAATAGTTTTAAAAAATTGAATTTCCTTAGAGTTATAATTGATATTGTTAAATTTTAAAAAAATTTTTGATGGAAAATTTTAGAAATAATTAAATTTTAGAAGTTTTTAAATTCAAATTTTTTTAAATAATTGAATTATAATTGAAATTTTGGATAATAATTCAATTTTAGTTGATTTTCGATTGAAAATTTTGATAAAAATTAATTTTGCATTAAAGTTTTTGAGAATAATTGAATTTTAGTTGATTTTGAATTGAAAATTTTGAAAATAATTGAATTTTCTTTGATTTGAAATTGAAAATTTGGAAAATAATTGAATTTTCTTTGATTTTGAATTAAAATTTTGGGAAATAATTGAATTTTAATTGAAATTTTGGATAATAATTCAATTTTAGTTGATTTTTGATTGAAAATTTTGATAATAATTAATTTTGCATTAAAATTTTTGAGATTAATTGAATTTTAGTTGATTTTGAATTGAAAATTTTGAAAATAATTAAATTTTATTTGATTTTGAATTGAAATTTTGGGAAATAATTGAATTTTAATTGAAATTATTGAAAATAATTGAATTTTAATTGAAATTTTGGATAATAATTTAATTTAAGTTTATTTTTGATTACAAATTTTGATAATAATTAATTTTTAATGAAATTTTTGATAATTATTGAATTTTAATTGATTTTGAATTGAAGTTTTGGGTAATAATTGAATTTTATTTGATATTAAATTAAAAATTTAGAAAATAATTGAATTTTAAAAGATTTTGAATTGAAAATTTTGAAAATAATTGAATTTTATTTGAATTTGAATTGATTTATGATTTTGAATTAAAATTTTTTGATAATTTTATTTGATATTTTTTTAAAATTATAAACAATTGTTAAATTTCGTAAAAATTTTAATTGAAAAATAATTTGAAATAATTGAATTTGTGATGAATTTCATTAAAATTATTAAAAATAATTAATTTAGTGAAGAATTTTAGTTAAAAATTTGTTAAATAATTGAAATAAAGAAGATCTGAAGAAGATCTACATTTTATACTAAAAAAATATATTTTATTTAAAAATTTGTTTAAAAAATGTAAAAAAAAGTCGAAATAGTCGCATTTTATTAAAAGAAGTCGAAAAAAGTCGTATTTTTGGAAAAAAGTCGAAAATAGTCGAAAAAGTCGTATAATCCGAGGCCTGCGAATACAGTTTCCAATCTAAAATCGAATTTTTGAGATATTCCGAAATTTGTTTCCAAATCAATCCATTTTATTCTTTTGAATCCTGAAATTTCATTTCAAATCAAAATCAAACCAAAGCTAAATTTTAATTCTTTTAATTTATGAAATTTTATTCCAACTCTCTTCGTTTCTGGAATTTTAAAGGGAAAATTTTATTCCAAGTCCATTCGTTTCCAATTGATTCTGAAATTTCTGTATTAAATCTGGAACATTTTGTCATTTTCATTTGAAAATAAATTTTACAACCCATATTTAGTTAGTGAAATAATTTCCATTTTATCGTATGGAACCAAACCAAGAGTTTTGTTGTTTAAAATTGAAATAATTGAATTCGTAAACGTGTAAAATATTAAAGAACATGTTATTCGAAGGGTCGAAAGGGTAAATTTGTACGTGATATATATATATATACATGTACCGTCGACTTGGAGTCGCGTGGCGTGTGGGGCATTGCGCAATTTCAAAGTTTTATCAGCACGTAATCGCAAAACTTTTCGATTTAGTTGCAAACTCCCGTCGTTTCACAAGCGGTTCTTACCTCGTACCGAAGCCACAGTTTCTGCCTTCTACACATAAATATAGAGTATATATGTACTTTTCACTGGGTACAGAACCGCGCTTGTTTTTGAAAGAGAGTAGAGAAGTATTTCCAACCCCCCCCCCCCCCCAGTCACTACCTAATAAGAGCTTTAAACCGAATCGAGCTCATCCTATACCTACTTTTCGAGTTATTTACCCGATATAAATCATAACTTTAATTTTATTTCCAAGAAAAAATAAAAATTCAAATTTTATTTTCATTTAATAATTCATTATTTCAAAAATTTCATTTTGTTTATAATTTTCAATTTTAATTTTGATTATTCCAGATTTTAGAATTCCAATTCCAATTGGAATTTTTCCAATTTTTAAAAATTGATTAAAATTTTTTTTTTAGTGATTTCTGTTGATGATAGGTTGAAAAAAAATTTTTTCTCTTTCAGAATCAAAAAGATGCAATGATAAATAAATCCATTATCATATGTCAACTGAAAATAAATTTTCCCACGGAAAATTGCATGTTTTTTGTAAATTTAACGGATTTAAGGGAATCACTTTTTTTGTGTATTTTTTTGAACAAAAAAAGTAGAACTTGTACAGCAGTGTGTGGTTATGTGGCATCTCGTTAAAAATGCATCGAAGCGCATTTTCTCCAGCCGCAGGCAAACTCCATTTGCAAATGGACCCATTCGTCACATGAGAAAACAACGTTACTCCACTACCGCCCCCCCTCAAAACACCCTCCTTATCCACTGTTGTCATTTGCATATGTGTGAGTCTGTAAGTGATGTACTTAAGGACGGTAAAAGCTTAGTCTGGGAATTCACAATTTTCCCAACATCCTGTAAGCTTCTCTATTTCCTAAAAGACACATTATATTTTTAAGATCTTTCCTTTAATACTCCACATTGTTCAATGTCATCATTAGAATTATACTTTTATATAAAAAAAAGTACAAGTATTATAAATTTAAAAATTTAATTTCTGTAATTTATGTAACTTTATGAAATATATACTTGGAAATAAAACACTGCCGTTATATTATTTTCAATTTCCACTTGGTATAATTTCTTCATCTCTGAAAGATATAAAATTGATAAGATTTACTGGTACTTTTTTCCTTCGTCTTTTAGTTTTTTTTTTTATTATTCGTATTGATTCTTCTATTTCTCGACTTTATCGATTGCAGTGTGAAAAGAAAGAAAAATTATTAATAAAAACAGTACTTATCAGAATTAATCCACAGTCAAGGTATTTGTTTCAAATACAGAAATTATTGGTTTAAATAAAAATTATTAAATATTTATTTGATAATGGCCGATTATTTGAAGCAAATAAATTTTTATAAGTAAATTCAAAAAGGGAATCTACTATACAATAGAATACAAAATTTGTAAATATGAAGAATTCATGTTTCATTATGTAAAAAGCATCTAACTGTAAATTGTGTGAAAAAAAAACAGAACCGATCTTAAAATATACTTCTTGATTGCCATGAAGCTTTTACTGGAATCGTGTACTAAAATTATAAATGTCTCTAACCGAGTACGCAAATGTACTCGCTTATGTATTATAAAAGAAAAAAAAAAAAAAAATCGTCTTGCAGACATTTCTGTTTCGAAATGAATAATTGGATATTCATATAAAAAAAAACCTGAATACATATTACAGAATGACAAAAAAAAATTGCAATTTTTCTACTCACCAGAATTTTTTCTTTTTTTCCCCCTTCTCATCTAGCTCACAGTAAGTGAAATGTGCTAACGTCTCCAGTTCCAATATCAAAATGAGATATTCTTTATCGTCTATACTCATTTCATTACAATTGAACAATAAAAAAGTGCTGAAAATATCGCAAAGCTGTAAAATAAATAATTAAAACGACTGCAATAGAATACGAATGATTATCAGCGAGAAGAAATATAAAATATTTAATGGGACAAATAATATTTTAATGTTGATATGCTTTTTTTTTTTATCATTTTCTCTAATAAAATTCGACGAGTTTTCCTTTATTGTTAATTAAAAATGTAGAATACTTTTTAATATCCTCTATTATAATTAGATCCTAAAAGAAAATTATATGTTTTAAATTGTTCATTTTTAGAATTATTTTATAAATAAAAATTATTTTTTTTAGTTATAAAAAATAATTGTAAAAATAATTTTCAAAACAAATTAGAATTTAATTGAAATTATATTATTAAATTAAATTACCTATATATGAAAAAGTAAAAAAAAAAATATTTTAACATTAAATCAGAGTCAATTTCTCGTAACGTAAAGCATTATTAAAGAGGCTACAGGAATTTCTCCGTTACTACGTTATTAGACGAACCATATCTCTAGGGAAATACAGACACTGTGGGACAGAGATGAGAATATAGAATTGGAGGAGAACTCTTCATCCGAATTCAACAAGGAGCAGAGGCTCCACATCGTCATTGCGATAATTAATACTCATCCCTCTGGACTGCAAAGGAGACCAGGACAGTGAACGAATTATGAACTGAGGACTTGTAACCATTTCGAGTAATCAAGAACTTTGTGTGCACTCTTTGTTGAAAAAGTAAAGCTTATAAATTCTTTTATTATTATTTTTACTATTTAATTATTTTTTATTTTTTTTTTATCATTTTATTTTCATTATTATTTTAAATACCATTTTTCGCATTTTATAAACAATCAATTAAAAAAAAAAAATTGCAATATAAAAAGTATGAAAAAACGTTAATGAAAATAAAATTAATTTTCAACATCAGAGGAATTTAAAAAGAATTCATGATACGAGAAACTAATTGAATTACAATTTGAAACAAATGGAATGTTAAAAATATATGCAATTAAAAATTTTTAAATTTACTCAGCGTACTATTTTATAATTGCATTCTTTTAACTTACCCAATACTGGCATCTCATTTGTTTTTCATTTTAAAAATAAAATTTTTTCTCACAATTAACAAATATCAGCTACACTCTAAATGGTTCATATTAGTATATAAAATTCCCAAAATTCAATCCGTGTCAGTTCCACGTGGGCATGAACATTGGGACAAAAAAAAAAAAGAAAACTCATTCAGAATGTAATTTTCTGCATTCTATTTGTATATATACGTGAAACGCGTGGTTAAGAAGCGCAAGCTCCTCGCTTGCATGTGCCGATAAAAGAGCAAGCGTTTCGCATGGAATTGGTTTTGAGGAAGTTTGTCGCCACGCAATATCATCTCGCCTTCGAAGACTTGAATATTGCCAATATCGTGAATCCTTTATCGTTGGTATTTTTCTCGCGCCTTTCATTCGACGACAACGAAAATAAAAATAAACCCATCGAATAAACGAAACGAAAAGAAAAACGTTTTCAAATAAAGTCTACCGTGTGGAATTTCGGAGAACGTATATTTTCTTTCTATTACTTCGAGAAGCGCCAATGTTCCACTTTACTTTTTCATCGGCAAAAAAAAAAAAAAGAAGATTTATTATAAATACGAGTTGCCTTTTTTTTGCGTGATACAATAATTTATTTTAATAACGCCATTACTCCATCTTAAATACAAGGTGTAAAATATGCATGAAATACAGAAATCTGATATAAATAAGTTATTAGTCGATGAAAAATGTGTGATTTGATGCATCGTTGATAATAATAATAATAATTAAATAGCCTTAGGCATGTGTTTCTGCCAAAATGTACAAATTATTTTTTTTTTTCATATAGATAAAAGTGTAAATACTACATTTTTAATATTAATATTAATATTTTCGACAGCCTTGTAACTCTATACACAATCTTTATTAAATTCCAGATGTGTAAAATATCTCAAAAGATCAGTACTTTTTTTTTGTTTTTTACTCTTCATTTATTATCACGGGAATCCAATCTCCCTTTTATTTTCTAAAATACCTTAAACACACTTCCGAACATACGACGCAAATATAAAGAAAATTTATTTTCCTTAAAAAAAAATCACAAAATACCTAAAAATTAATTCGCTCTGCGACGTGAAATTTAGGCCCTTTTTTTAAAAAAAAGAAAGAAAATATGATGCATTTGGAAAAGAAGAGAAAAATTTCAAAATTCACTTTTTTTTTTAAATACAAAGAATTAAATTTTTTTTTTTTTTTTGAAAAGGGGGGAGGGAGAGAAAAGCGAGCAATCGAAAGAGATAGAGTTGCTAACAAATCAGACAAGTTCTGAAACGTTTTACTACAAATATAAGAGTAACACTGTCTAACCTTCCGTTCGAAAGTGACGACCTATTTAACGGACATATATGATTCTTATAAAAACAAAGAGTGCTCCCGTCACATTTTTATTTTTTTAATAAATTGATTAAACTCGCGGGATCCTCTTTTCTTTACTGTCAAAATGCTCATTATGCGTACCCTGTGAGATTCAAACAAATCAAACGTTGAAATCCTTCAGCAGTACTGAGAGCTTTTCCTTTTTCTCCATTATTTCACGGCAACTATCGTTCCACGGGCCGTAATTTAAGTTCATTATTTGCTCTGCACGATCAAGGAATCTGCGAGTCTTCTTCAGAGTGTTTCTGAAATTTATTTCACATAATTATATATACAATAATTTCTGATGATTTTTATAAAAAAAAAAAAAAAAAATGTTCCCTTATTTAGAGAAGGCATTTATTTTTTTGTTCTAAAGTAATTTTTGATTATATTATTTTTTATAAAAACTATATTCAAATTCGATAATTGAATTTAAATTGAGAATATTTTCAATCGAAAATAAACATAATAAAATTTGTATCACTTTCGATAACGACAATAGAATTGTATTTTCAGATATAAATTTTCCACTTGTGTCTTAGAGAATCGGACAGCGTGTCCTTCCACTTGATATCCCATTCCATCTCTTTTGTTATCTTTTGAGCGAGTCTGCTTTAAACCTCTTTACGGATGGACACCCCTGATGCGTTCATTGTCCCGTTTTCCCTGAAATAGTCGAGCACGATCTTTGTTGAGCAGGAAGACCTTTTGTCGTTCCCTCGCCAATGAATCTATATTGGCAAGTACGCTGGCAATAGATATAATAGTACTGTACTTGAAAATGTCGAGACATTGCGACAAAACTTACAACACTCAATGTATTTTCTATTGGATAACATGATTATTGTCAATTACGATAAAACTTTTACAATTATATCAAAATTGAAAAAGTATTTTACAAAAAAAATAAGGTAATTTCTATTCAATTGAAATTTATTGAAGAGAATATTCACAAAATATAGTAATTATTTGAATTACTATAATTGATTTGAATGCATTAGCAAAATCAAATCAAAATTGCCATTAAACTAAAATCAATTTCAAAGAATTTTCATTATGACAAAATATTAATTTAAAGGAATTTCCATTTATTCCAAATTTAATTTAGCCAAATTATCATTTCGCAAAGTATTGCTAAAGAAAATTTATCTATGGAGGATTCTGATTGATCCTTTGGTATAAGAGCAATAAACCAGATTGGACAAAAATTCCGAAATTTAAAATTTTCGAGATAAATATTCGACAATATAACAGGAAGTTTTTTAAAGTACCAACACGAAGAGCAGAATTAGCCTATAAAAATCAATAATCAGAATTTTCATTTTAATGAATTTTATTAGAAATGATTATTTTTTAGACGAATTTTCAATTTTCGAATTAAAATTTGACAGATTTTCTTTTTATACGTATTTTTGTTTGATAAAATTTTTATTTTACAGTCATTTTCTTTACATAATTTTTTTTTTTTCATATAAAAGAATTTTAATTTAACAGAATTCTCATTCAATTGAATTTTTTGTGATTCGAATTTTTAAATGACAGAAATTCAAATTCACCGAATTTTTATTTATACGAATTTTTAATTAATAGAATTTTTAAGATGTCGAATTTTTATTCGTACGAAATTACAAATTATACCGAAATCTTTTTGTCCATTATTTGTAATTTCAGACAAATGAAAATTCGACGTCTTAAAAATTATATTAATTAAAAATTCGGTGAATTTGAATTTTTGTCATTTAAAAATTCGAATCACAAAAAATTCAATTGAATGAGAATTCTTCTAAATTAAAATTCGCTTAAATTAAAATTCTTTTATATGAAAAAAAATTATGTAAAGAAAATGACTGTAAAATAAAAATTCGATAGCTAAAAATTTTATGTAAAAAATTGGTATAAAAAGAAAATCTATCAAAATTTAAATCGAAAATTGAAAATTCGTTTAAAAAATAATTATTTCTAATAAAATACTGTAAAATAAAAATTCTAATTCGTGATTTTTATGAGAAATTCGTGCGCCACGACTAACAGCATCCAAGCGACAATGGACCAAAGTGGTGAAATGATTTCGAAATTTTAAATATTCGAAATAAACTCTCAAACATGGCAGGAGAAATATTATTAATTAAAATTATAATTAATAATTCAAAATACTCTACAAACGACAATTTTTTGTTAATACTCCAGAAATTTTTTTCTATTTTTAACATCGATGAGATTAAATCTCAGTAATGTAATTTCTGTTTACCTAAGGGAGTTCTATCTATATTCTATGAAGTTTTTCATCCTCACACAGTTGATGGTATGGTGGTCCACGAGACAGAGATTTGCCTCTACTTCCAAAATATTCTCTCTTCTAAAGTGCCAAAAGTTTTCTCAACTGACAATAAAATTCCGGACACAATGAAAATTGTTCATCCCTTGACGACAAAATACGAACAATTGTCACAAAGTGTATACCCTGACAATTCATGTCTGAAATTCTCGTTATCTTACACGAGGATTGACCTATTGAAATTCCCGAAACTCAAATCACACGAGTTTTGAATAGAGAAATTTCGCAAAATTATTTACAGAAACTCGGTAAAAGCGTCGCGCATTGACACAGAGGTGAATGAATAGGTGAATTGCGGGAGTGAGAGAGAGAGAGACTCGAGTGCCAAATTGCCATTCCCTTCGGGACGTAAATTAGAATAGAATCGCTATCTGTTGTAAACCCAGGAAACTTACTTGTATTGTTTGGTGCTTGTGTTCGTCTCTTCGCGTAAGTACTGAATACAGATGTCCGTAATTTTGTTCAACTCGTTGGCAAGTTCTACGCTGTCGGGGCCAAATCTCTCCTCAACTGCAGCTATACTGTGCTCCAGATACGATATGGAATCAAGCCATCGACCTGAAATAATTTAAAAAAAAAAAAAACAACTTTAGTATTTTCAAAAATCTCAAAAAGTCAATTCAAAAAAGGTTTTCATTATCTAATTTATTAATTCAGAGAAAAGGAGAATTATGTCAAAATATGAAAATAAAACAAACCCATAATTGCATAGACTTTTCCAATTAAATCGAGTGTCACGGCAATATCCTCGTGATGTTTATAGAGAACATTTCGTCGGATACATAAGCATTGTTTTAATTTATAGAGAGCCTCGTCGATTTTTTCGTGATCAATGCAACCTTGAGCAGCGTCGTAAAGATCCTGAGCCTCCTTCAAATCGGCGCCATAAGTAACAATTGGAGTTGCTCCACAATCGAGGCAATGCAATGAATAACTGTGAAGATTATGCAAAGCCCCGGTACACTCCGGACACTTTAAAGCGCTGAATCTCTCCTACATTTCAAAGAAAAATTTCCCTATTTAGTCTCATATTCGGAAATTAAAACAAAAAATTATTTTCGTAATTTTTACGAATTATGAATTTTTTTTGTACTAACCAAAAAGTAACGTAATTCTGGATTGGTGCATGCCTCACATTTGCAAATGAAACAATATTGATTTTTTAAAGTTTCCTGTCTATCGTCTTTGGACATTCGACGAAAATGTGGTCCTAAAAAATCATATCAATATTAATTCAAAAATTCAATTTTTCTAAAGTAATAAAATTAAAATACTAACCATAACAATTTAAAACTTCCTCGCCAACTCCAATATCTTTTGTTGCTTTCACAATAAGATGTTGATCCCAAAAGCTGAAAAATTTTGAATAAAAAACAAATTTATTAATAAAAAAAAAAAAAAAACTTTTTTGATTAATATATTAAGTTTTGTTTTCTTCTCCTTACCTATTAATTATATTAGGATCACAGGCGTGATTCATCATGCTGGCAGAGAGATAAATTCCAGTAGCAACACGATCTTGATGCTCGGTTGAAACTTTGTCCTTATCGGAGGCAGTTAAATTCAGTCTTGTGATTGCATGTCCATTGCATATCAACTGTAACATGTGCCTCAAAAGAAGAGAACTTATGTAAAGTCTTTTGCCATCTTCAATCGTAAGATCGCATTCAAAACTTAAACTGCTGTCGGCAAATTTACGAACAAAGCTCTCATTAATATCGACGACTTTAAAGAAATCCGTGTACTTGTAAAGATACAACGTCAACATTGTTGCTGTCTAAAAGAATAAAATTTCCAAATATTAAATATTTAATATCCATTTAAAAAATATTTGTTTTAATTAAGAATAGAAAAAAAAATATATCTTACAATGCCATAGACGATCAGATCTTCCGGCATCAATTTATCGATGTTTGTAACTAAACTCTGAACTTGATTAAACTTATCAACATCTTGAGTTGTTGCGCAATTCAAAAGCAATTTCATTGCCAAGTGCGCGATTCCAATTTGTTGCCAAACTCCCATTCGACTTCCTGGACATTCCCATTGATGATAAGTTGTCCATGCATCATCTTGACATTTAACATCACAGTACATTGCCTCCACGCACATTTTGCATCTAATTAAATTGAAAAATTATAAATACTACGAAAATTTAATTAATTTACAAAAAAAAAAAAAAAAATACTAACGGAAATGGTACATCGCCCTGTGGTCGGCAGCAATGAGCGCAAAGCGATGACGATTGTTCATGATCGAGTAAAACGAAAGCAAACGGTTTTTCGACAAAGAGAATTTGTCCCTTGTGTATGTCACGATTCGCCACAACATAACGTCCCTTGTCGGGTGCACATTTTTTCTCCAATGCCGCAGATGCATAGGGGAAATTTGAATTGACTCCAAATGCTGGCTCTGGTTTATTGCCTGACATTGAATCAGAAGCCTCGTTTTCATCGTCGTATTCCATACTTGAAGCTGTTGCCATTAAACTCGTGACTTGTTGCTTAATACTTGCTGAAATATTAACGAATTAATTTTAAAAAAAAATAGAATTCATTTCAATTATACACTAAATTCTCAATTTTTCTTCTCTAATATAAAAATTAAATATAGAAAAAAATGTAGAAACTAGTAAAAAAAAATAAATATAAAAGGAAACTACATACTTTTTTTAATTTCAGGAATTTCTTCGCAATTATTAACAATATCCTGAACTCGCATTAAAGATTCTTCCATGGATTTTCTTTTTCTCAATTTCCAGAAACATTGAGCAGCTCGCAAATGTAATTTGTAACGCAAATTTTCTGGATATTCCCACATTACAGCTAAATCTATATCTTTAATACAATCCTAAAACGAGAAATTATAAAATTAAGTAAATTTTTTCAATTATTAATTAGCTCATTAGTACAGAATATTCCATTAGAGTAAAATATATATATATTTTTTTTAATCTGTTAAAAATTGATATAGAATTTTCTATATTTTTGAAAACAATTGTAATTGTTCTTACTTCGAATTTTTCCAAATAGAATAGAGAAGCTGATCTATTAGCAACTGCAAGGGCCAAATCTTCACTTCCCATTGGCGCATATTGTAAACTTTTTGTATAAAGATGAATACTCGCTGAATAATTTTTAGCTTGAAATTCTTTGTTTCCAAGTTCACGTAGTTGTTTAGTTTTTTCTAAAGATTTACCCTCTTTAGTTTTGTGCTGTTCATTTAGCCATAAGGACATAAGCCTCCTGTATTACACAAATAAAAAAAATTTTCTCCCATTAATAAAAAAAAAAGAAAACAAAATCAACTGGAATATAAATTTTTGTAAAATTAAACAAATGACAATTAAAATAAAAATTACGAATATTTTCTATTTCTTTTTTTTTTTGAACAATTATTTTGTTAAATTAAATCTTTTAGTTAAAAAATTCTATTATTTAAAATTTTAATTAAAAAAACAAATTATCATAATACACCGGAACAATAAATATAATCGCACTTATTAATTTATTATATATTTTTAATTAATAATTAAAATTAATCTCAGTTCTAATTAACCATAATTTCAAATAATAAGAATCTCAAATAACGGTACATTCACATTTTTCCAAGATGAATAACATAATTTCATGCATGAAAATAATGAAATTTTTCCGCGAGAAATTATTTTCAGAAAATGACACAAGATGAGAACTAATTTTCAAGGAAACATATATGAAAATAAACCAATAAGATATCAGTTAACACACGAAAGATTGCAAGTTTACATGTGCATGAAAACTAGGTTTCCATCTTTCATATATATATAGACTTGAAAATAAATCACACAATTTCTCTCTCTCTATATATATATATGTTTATATGTGCGAATCAAAACGAATGCTCGTGATTTTCTTTGTTTGAAAGTAGAAAAAAAAATTGAACACAAGCCTTCATTTTGACCCCCATTTCGCGATTCAAAGAACTCTCCTTTTACAATTTTTTTTTTCATCGTAACTTTCAATTATCAAACACTATAAGACATTTTTTTCTTCAATAAATCTTACTACTTGTTATTAATTTTTTTTTTATTTTCTAGTCTTTTCTCGCAATATTTGGAAAACGCAATGTCAACGATGAATTATTGTAAAATGCGCATGAAAAAGACAATGACACACGTAAATTATAAAGAAACAAAGAGACACACATTTTTTTTTTTTTTATTATATTTTGTCACGAAAAATAAACACAAACATAAAATAATGTGGAAATAAAAAAAAAGTCCTACCTTACATCCGGATCTGCCAAAAGGCATAACATGACTTCGTTTTCGCATTTTTTCTTTGCCTTTATATCATAAGGCATACGAGAATTTCTCAATTTATTGTTGACTGCCTCAAAAAATTTTTGCCACTGCATAATTATCACTTATTTGTTTGTCTATTTTCAAGATGTATCACAAATAATTGTACCAGAATAAAAGTGCAATTGCGAGAAAGAAAAAAAAAGACGATAGACGTCCGCAAATTTTTTTTTTTTTTGAGGTTATGGTTGCTTTTGTTCACACAACCGGCATCGTAAATTGTAAACTCGTGGGACCTTGTACAAGGCACTTGATTTTATTGTTATCTTTATTGAATCACGTAGAAAACAATAATTGTTTACAATTTGACAATTATAATAACATACGAATGTAGGATATTAATTTAAAAACTAGCGTAAGCTTTTGTTCACGGCAAATCGCAATCGCAAAACCAGTCTAACAACTTGACAGATTATCTATAAAAGTATCTCAACCTAGGAAACATTTGTCTACGCAATCATTGAAGGAATGTCATCTTAAATTATCTCATCATCTAGATCAAAGAAAACATTTCTAATGGTTAGTTCACATTTCACCTTTATATATTATTTTCCTTTTAATTCAAAAAGAAAACAAATTTAAAATAAAAAAAAAAGTACCTATTATTTAAACTTTTTTTTATTAAATGTAAAGTATTTTTTGAAATTCGTTTGTAAAACTACAAAAAATTGAATGTTTAAATTGTATTTTATTTTTAAGATAAATCATTCCTTTGTTTTTCGCGCGCTAAATGTTTAAAAAATTAAATGCAACGTATTAATTATAATTTAAAACTAATTTTAAGTTTTAACTTTAGAAAAACTGATTTTTTTTTTAATATTTAAAAGTGAAAAAAAAAATTGGAATTTGAAAATTATTCAAAAGGACAATGAATTAAATATCATGAATTATATTGTATTAGATTTAATATTAATCTATCAATATTATAATAACGTATAGGCACAGTGTATAATATGTACAAGCAATAATTTAATATTCTATTAGCAGACTTATAAAGAAATCACAAATATTTGTCAAATTAAACCCACGATTTTCATAGGCAAAATCAGAGATGGTCAAATTGACTTAAATATTAACATTCAATTTCATCAAAAAAAAATTTCTATATTCATACAATATAGAATTTAATTTTTCAAAACACACACATCGCATTCAAAAAATATAGAAAATTTATTTCTTAAACAAAAAGAAATTAGTAAGTACATACATATATATATATATATATTTATATATAAAAGAAAAAAAAAACAAATATCCTCAATTTACAAAAATATAGAAAAAATATCTAAATTCTCTTCACATAATACGTTATTTCAATTTTTTTTAAACATTCAAATCCGAGGGAATCATAATATGAAAAATAATTTTTCATCAATCATTCATAATAATTTGTCCATCCCTGCAAATATTAACAATATAAATTAATTATCAAATGATGCAACAATATCTTATCTTAGGATTCAGTTTTTTAGATTCAATCTCATTATTTATAAAAAGCTTGATATGAGATGCGAAAAAGGGACTCAAAACTGACCACGAGTCTTTTTTTTCCAAAAAAAAAACCACGAGGTAGAATTTTCTTTTTGTCATATAATATGACAATCCGCATTCGCTTAGTTATTGTTTTCTGATTGATAAAGAGAAGATAAAAGATCTTCGTACCGTTGCATATCAGTTTCAAATGTTTCGAGTTTTTTCGTCAAATCGCCCACTTGATCAGCCAATGTTAATTCTTCCGTGAATGCTTGAAGTTGCGGTGCACTTTGACATTCCCTGTAAAAAACGCCTAGATCGCTATTCGTATTTGTTCCAGCAAATGGCGTTTTCTAGATGGAGAAAAAAAAAGAAATTAACACTTTTCTTTTTACAATTTTCATTCTCCTGATTTTTTTGAAAAAAATTTTTTTACTGTAAAAAAATCTTTATCAAATATAAGTAAATAAAAATGAAATTTTTTTTCTAAGGAATTATTTGTATTTTGAAATTCAAAAAAAAAATTGAAATGATTGAAATGAAGTCTAACAAGTTAAGAATTACCAGGTCTACCATAATGAAGTCGTCGTTGGCACTGGTGATCGAACAACTGCTTCGTCTTGAGCCATTTTGTGAATTACATTTACACGTTGCATTGTCATTTGATACTTTTTCCGTATTTCCATTACTGCTGTTTGTTGTTGTTGTTGTTGTTTCTGTCGTTGTTCCTATTGTTGGAACAGTTGTTGAATCTGTTCCCGATGTTGGTAAAGGTGGTGAATTTTGTCTTGAGCTCAATAATGAACTAAATGGAACGTCCGGAATCACTAAATCCTCCTCGTTTACAACTATTTGTTTATTCAAAACGAATGCACCGACTTTAATTGTGTCACTCAATGATTTTGATGTCTCCTCGCTTTAATACAAAAAAAAATTTATATTACAATTTTTTTCTTAAAGAATTAATTTTATTTTTTTAAAATAATGTACCTCTGTTGATATCGAGCGTGCCTTGGACTTAAATCTGAATGAAAATGATCACTTTTTAACATTATTGAATCACGTCCACTGTAGGTTGGTGAAATTGTCATTTTAGTTCTATAAGATACTGACAAGTAAATTGTGCCAACAGGAGTGCATAATTGTCCAACTCTCACGCGTTTATAATTATCACCTGAAAAAGAAATTAAATTAAAATTTTTTTTTTATTAGCCTTGCAAAATGTTTGTATAAAAAATATATTTACCTAAAATATGAAGTTGAGGTTCGCCCATATAAATTCTATAGCAAATAACATACGAATCGGGACCCTGTCTTCGACTTAATTTATAAGCTGGCGTCACTCTCGATACGGAGAGCAAGGATTTAAGTAAAATTCCCATTCTATTATAAACAGTGTAAGTGACTCTGATAGTTGGATCACTTTGTTCGGGTAAAACACCCAATGTCCAAGTTTCTAACACCATTGTGTCTCCTTCAACAGTTCGAAGTGAAATTTCAATACACAATGGTATCGTTGAACTAATAATATCACTGCATAAAACTCTTTTTGCCTCTGACAATACTTCAGGCAAATCTTGAATTGCCAAATTAAACTGCAAAAATATTTAATTTTCCTCATTTCATTTATAAATAAAAAAAAAACAGCGGAAAACTCCAATAATAATAAAAACTCGATAAACATCTTTTACAATAACAAAAACAATTTCAAATTAAAATCGTGCGTGAAATAATAAAACTTATTTTCAATTATAAAAAAGTATAAAAAAAAAAAAAAGAATTTAATATCAGAACTATAAATAACAATAATTAAGAAATATTTACCCAATCTGTTCCTGATGAATTTGGTTTACATTTTGTATTGACTTTTTCCCCAGATCTTGATTGCACAATAATTTGAGCTGCTTTTAGGGCCAAAAATTTTGTAAATTTATCCAAGTCTTTTTTGTCCTGCATACTCAATTTCAATGCTGACATTGCAATTTGTTGATTTTTAATAATTTTCAAAATAAAATAAAACATTAAATGTAAAACGTGTGTTTTTCATATCTGACGTAAATGACATTTTACAAATGCCACGCAACATATTTTTCGCTGACTCTCTCTCTCTCGCAAAAAGCTTGTCAATTATTGATGATGATGATCGAAAGAATGCTCTAAATAAACAATGACCTTTGCTGTTATTATTCTAAATACTCTTATCACACGATAAATAATACGTGCTTTAACTGATTTTTTTAAATAAATTCCTAATAATAGTTTGTTTTTTCTATTTATGTATAGAAAAAAAAGTACGATAAGGAATGTTTTTCACACCCTTTTCGTATATTAAAAATAATAGTACACTTTTTATTAATATAAAACAGAAAACACTTGTCACTATTTTTCAATTATAAACGAAACTCTCTTTAATTGAATTATTAATTAAAGTAAAAAATTTATGACGAAATTAATGAGAAATAACAAATTTTATTCACTGAATGATGAGAAATTCTTAGGCGCCTTTCGCCATGTCAGATTTGCATAACCATAACCTCACTAATTTCCTAACCTCTATTTTTTAGTATAATGAATTACTAATTATTCAGTTATTTTGTAAACAATTAAATAATTTCCATTGTAATATGTAATTTAATGGTTTTTAATTTTCCAAAATACACATATTTGTGGACAAAAAAAAAACATTATTATGACACTTGATTACACGCCTTTATTTTGATTGGTTCAATATCACGTGACTGACACGCATTCCAGCGGTATTTTCAAATTAGAATTTTAAAATCATTTTAATTATTGGAATAAATTAATTTTTATTGAAAAAAATGATTAGGAAGAAAATAATTAAATTATATTTTCCTGTTTTGAATAATATTTAAAAAAGAAAGTGATAATTATTAAATGTATGGTGTAAATTATTTTAGATGGGGGAAAAAGATGGCGCTAGTGTCGCCAGTAACTACCAGTAATAATCGATTATTGCCACTCCCCACCATTTTGTTTCATTGTTCCTTTTTATAAAAACCATGGCGTCATTCCATGTTCCTGTTTTTCTTTGGTTCAGTTTGGCGTTGTCTGCCTGCTAGTCATTACACTATTTAATTTAGTGTAGTTGAGAGAATTTCCGGTGTGTGTGCGATCTTTTTCAGGAAGACTACGTAACTGTAGCGTCTCTTCCATTATATCAATGTAAGTAATAAAAATCCACTTTTATCTCAAGGAAATTTTCCTCATCCTTTCACCCCGTATGGGTAGAAAAAATATCAATGCACCCAAAAATGCGGGATGCTGTTTAGTTTTTTGCCTTCAATGATCGTTAATTGCGTTTGTTACAAAAATCTTAACATTTTTTTTTGTACACTTTTCCGTTTTTCTTAATTATAAATATTATATCAATTTTGCAAAAAGATTGTATGTTTCTAAGTCATTAAAAAAAATTGAGTGTAATTTTTTCATTTATTCAAATTTTATTTATGGAGTAATGGCGTCTTGGCATCACGCTCATGTATTTTACCGGATGGGTTTTTATTTTACAATTAATTATTTCCATGTTTAGTAAATTTTATTTTAATTTTTTTTCAGTGTATTTGATACTTGGGGGGGGGGTTTCAGAATGAATTTGTTATTTATTTTGAGAAAAAGTAATCAAGAGAGAACACACGCTTTTCGGTAAAATGGCGGATTTTTCGTGGAATTGTGGGAATTTTAGTTTATACGTGGAACTTGAGGAATACATATTAGGGAATTGAATTACATCATTAAGATTACGATTGTTTGCTTATCGTCAAGTTTTTCGATGAATGCCAGTCAACCTTGTAAAATATTTTTTTGTAAATAAACGAAATTTGAGGTTATAATTAAATTTTCGAAATGTTGAAAACTTTCCATTAATTGTTTTTTTTTTTTTTTATAAAAAGAGGTCATGAATTTAAATTGTCTCGACCTTGGATTTATTTTAATTTTTAAAATAACATGATGAATCTAACAGATAGGGACATCAGATTGTTATGTGATTGAATTATATCTGTTCTGAATTTTTAATACTATTTTTTAAATTGAATTTTTTTTTTTGAACGGAAAGTAATAATAATGTTTTATTTACAGAAATTATAAATAATAATAAAAATGGCCGATAACGACGATCTTTTGGATTACGAGGATGAGGAACAAACCGAGCAGGTTGTCGATGGAAGTGGTGATGCTCCTGCAAAGAAGGAAGTTAAAGGTACCTACGTGTCAATCCATAGCAGTGGATTCAGAGACTTCCTTCTTAAGCCGGAAATCCTGCGAGCCATCGTCGATTGCGGTTTTGAACATCCTTCTGAAGGTATGTACATATAATTGATTTCTTTCAAAATCATTTATTTTAGTGTTCACAAATTATATGATGACTCCAACAGATAGGGACATCAGATTTTTTTCCGTGAATGAATTATATCTGTTCTGAATGTTAATAATAAAATAAATGTTTTTTTTTTTTTCAATTAAAATTAGAGGAACTTATGGGTTTTTTTTGTTGTCTTTTTTACAGTTCAGCATGAATGCATTCCACAGGCAGTTCTTGGCATGGATATTCTTTGCCAAGCCAAATCCGGTATGGGAAAAACTGCCGTGTTTGTTCTCGCGACACTTCAACAACTCGAACTCACAGAAAATCAAGTCTATGTACTTGTAATGTGTCACACACGAGAACTTGCATTCCAAATTAGCAAAGAATACGAGAGGTTCAGTAAATACATGCCGGCAGTGAAGGTGAGACATTTTTTAATTTTAAGAGATTTTTTTTTGAAATTTTTGAAGGATCTCAAATGATGTAAAACTTGTCTTAGCCAAAAAAAAATGATGACAACCTTTTTTACCACTACCCACTACTGATAGTGATCCTTGAAATAAAATTCTTTTTCTTTTTATTTTTTGAAGAGAAATATTAATTTTCTTTTCTATTCAAGGTGGCTGTATTCTTTGGAGGTTTGCCTATTCAGAAGGATGAAGAGGTTTTAAAAAGTTCATGTCCTCATATCGTAGTTGGAACACCAGGTCGTATTTTGGCGCTAGTCCGGAGCAAGAAACTCAATTTGAAGCATTTGAAACATTTTATTCTGGACGAATGTGACAAAATGCTCGAACTGTTAGGTATAATTTTTCTTCTTAAATTGAATAAAATTTTCTCATGATTCCAAATGATGTTAAAATTTAACTTAGCCAAAAATTGATGACAAACAATTTTAACCACTACCCCCTACTGATGGATATTGAAAATTAATTTTGTTTTTCTAATTTGAAAAAAATTCTTTTTTAAATTGATAATTTAATTTTCTTCTAGATATGAGAAGAGACGTACAAGAAATATTCCGAAGTACACCACATGGCAAACAAGTGATGATGTTCAGCGCCACTTTATCAAAGGAGATACGACCAGTCTGCAAGAAATTCATGCAAGATGTAATTAGTCACAAATCTACCTGTTCTCTTCGATCTCCGTTCGTCCTCACTTGGTCCCAGGACAAAGCTCAAAATAAATCTCGATCGAGGCGCACCCGCGGTTTAGGATAGTTATCCGCTTTCAAGAACGCAATTCTTTGAAACAATCTAGAAACAAAAAAACTAGTCTTGGGGGAAATACGTTTAAAAAAAAACTCCTTGGTTCAAAAGAAATTCCACAAAAATATCCGAATATTCCTACAAATTCATTCCAAGAAAAATACTCCTTGAATGATTATTCCATCCTTGCGAAAATCCATTTCTCCTGCAAAAAAAAAAAAAAAAAATGACACCCGATCCATGTAGAAACAAAATCCTTGTTTTATAAAACAAATAACAAAAACAAACCTTGAATGATAGATGAAAAAAAAAAGCACGAGAAGTCGACAAAAAAAATATAAATGGGTTAAAATTAGTATCTTCGAATGTTTAAATAAAAAAATAAAAAAAAGTATTTAGTCGAGATTACCGGGGGAGCATGTTCGATACAAGTTACAAGACTTGGATGTGAGAGGAATATGATATCGAGAAGTCTGGAGTGGCTGTTCACTTTCTGGGGTGCGCCGAGTTTATTCTCTGTCAGGGTGACTGCAGACCGTTTACATTGAGTGTTGGCACTACCGAGAGGTGGAATTCGCCGAACCGTATGTAACACCAGTTAGAAAAAATAACCCAATCAACGATTGAATTTACCTCCTCAAAAAAATGGTGGCACGCCTTAGATTATAAAAGAGATCGATTCCTGGGTTCCTAGTGTCCATTGAAACGGTTTAATTCTTTTTTTTAAAAAAAAGTTTGAAAATTTTTTTTTTTTGTTATTTTTAATATCAGTTTACTATTTTAAATTCATTTTAAATTATTTTTCAAATTCAATTATTAAATTAAATGCCAAATTTGTTTTTGTATTTTTAATTTGTTTTAGTATTTTTTTTTTTTTTTAAATGGAGGAATTGTCGGGGTAGAATAAGTGGTTTTTTTTTTTCTTAAACAAGATTTTTGTTTTGTACAGCCCATGGAAGTCTACGTGGATGATGAAGCGAAACTCACGTTACATGGTTTGCAGCAGCATTACGTGAAATTGAAAGAAAATGAAAAGAACAAAAAATTGTTTGAACTTCTTGATGTTCTTGAATTCAATCAGGTTGTGATCTTTGTTAAATCTGTACAAAGGTGTATGGCATTGGCAACATTATTGACTGATCAAAATTTCCCAGCTATTGGAATTCATCGTGGAATGACACAAGAAGAAAGATTGTCACGTTATCAACAATTTAAAGATTTTCAGAAGGTATTTTTTTTTTTTTTATTTTTAATTTTAAATTGTAATTTATATAAATTGTTGACTATAATTTATATTGCAGAGAATTTTAGTAGCAACTAATTTATTCGGAAGAGGAATGGATATTGAACGAGTGAATATTGTTTTCAATTATGATATGCCAGAGGATTCGGATACATATTTACATAGAGTAGCGAGAGCCGGACGTTTTGGCACAAAGGTATGTATTTTTTAAATACACATTAAAATTTAAAAAAAAAAATGAAATTAAATTTTTATTTATCTTCTAGGGATTGGCGATTACTTTCGTGAGTGACGAGAGTGATGCTAAAATATTGAACGACGTTCAAGAACGATTTGACGTCAATATTACGGAATTACCAGATGAAATTGATCTCGCCTCTTATAGTAAGTTTTTCTATTTTATTATCACTAGTGAAAATTATTTTGAATTTGTTAATGAAAATGTATTTTTCTTTACAGTTGAGGGACGATAGATTTTAAGCATTTAAATTTTCAATTAACCAAGAAGAATATTCCATTGAATGTTAAAATTGAAACACGAAAATGTTCGTCGTATGTAAAGGACTAAAATGGAAATCATTTTTATATTCTGCAATCGACTCGTTTATGAAGTACTATTTTTTAAGAGTGACTTGTGAAGTTTAATTATAATAATTAAAGAAAGCAAAAAATCCGGTTCCTTTTATTATTATTATATTATCGGAAAAAACATTTATAATTAATTAAATGAGAATATTGTTCCTTTAGTATAAAAAAACACACACACACACTGAAAATCGGTAATTTTTCAATTTGAAATTACCAAATAAATTTTGAAACTTTGTAGTACGTAATGTAGTGGTATGTAATATCTACAATACAGTACAAAAAAAATGTGGTGAACAAACAAAAAAAAAAAAACTTGTATTTTGATAACAATTTTTTATTGTCCATTCAGTTACAATTTTTTGTCCAATATTATTTGTAATTTGAATTGATAATTTTAGGACCAATTTGTAAATGTTTAAGTACTTACTATTGTATTTAATTTTTCATTTGAAAGTAACGAAATTATTCATTGATCATCTTTTTTTTAATCTAATTATTTCATAGAGTATGTAAATAAGTATTTTTTCAGTAGTCAATAAAATAACACGTCTTACCCATATTTCTTTAGTTTTTCTTTATTTATAAAAATCATCAAATATTGGAATTTATTTCCTAACATGTTTGGTAAAAAAAAAAAAAAAAACAATCTTTAACAATAATAAAATCTGTTTTTGACAAAATGTTTTACATTTATAAAAAAAATTTACTCTTCTAATTCTATCTTAACATCTTCTACTTCAATATCATAAGTTTCGAAGATTTCATTATTAAATTCCTCCTTCACGACAATATTGAGATAATTATTGCTATTTAAATTTAAATTGGTGTCTACCTTATTTTTTGGTTCAATTGCAACAATTAACATTTTTTCACATTTTCCTTTTTTTACATTATTACAAATTTCGCTCGAAGAAAATTCATTTTCTCTACGATTTATAACAGTTTCTAATTCTATTTTTTTTGTTCCCTTTTGCGAATTTTCACTTCGCCTTTTTTTTGAATTGTGTTTCATTTTGTGCAACAATAACGAATGTTTGTGTTTATATTTTTTCTCACAATTATCACATTCAAATGGTTGTATTTCAAAATGACGACGCACATGAACAATAAGATCGGATTTAGCGTGAAATTTCTTTAAACACGAATTACATTCGTATAATTTCATCAATGAATGCACACAATTTTCGTGTTTTTGCAATTGTGCAATTTTCAGAAAATTTTTATGACAAATATTGCATGAATATTTTTTTATCTTCTCATGAACGTCCCTTATGTGTGACATAAGATAACGTTTTTGTAAATAACTTTTTTTACAAATATCACAAACAAATGGTTTTCCACCAACGTGCGTCAATATATGAGTATTCATTTCACGTGGACATGAAAAACTTTTCTCACAAATTGGACAATCGTATACATATTTACATTTCATATGAATAATAATGTGTCTCTTTATATTTCGATAAGTCGAATATGAATTTTTACATATATCACATTCAAATGAATTTGTCGTATATTTTTTTTTCCTATCAGCAAGAATTTGAAAATGTTTTTTCATATGATTATTGAGATAGACTTTTTTTAGAAATTTTTCCTCACATTGTGTACATTTGAATTTACGATTATTTTTATTATGAAATTTTTCATCATGTAATATAATGTCGGAAATTTTTGTAAAACTTTGCGAACAAATTTTACATATTAGTGATGATTTTTTCTCTTTATGCACAAGTGAATGTGATTCGAGATCATTGAAATTCTCATAAGCACGCTTACAATATTCACAACGTAATAATTTTACTTTTGAATGCGTTTGCATATGAAGCGAAAGACGATCGGCACGACGAAATTTTTGCTGACAAATCTCACAATTATATGGTTTACCATCTTTCATATGTGTCAACATATGAGTATTTAAATTATTGCGACGATTAAAATTTCTTTTACAAATATTACATTTAAATGGTTTATTATTCGTGTGACAAATTTTGTGTGTATTTAAATGATAATTTGTACGAAATTTTTTATCACACTTATCACAGGCATATAAACGTTCGTCTTGATGACTGCGTTCATGATTTTTTAAATCAGATTTCCAAACAAAAACTTTTGAACATATTTTACAGACAAATGGTTGTTTATCACGATGTGTCCATAGATGTGCTGATAAATCACGTTTTGTTAAAAAATTCTTTTGACAAACGTGACATTCAATTATTTTGCATTTTTCACGACATTTGTGTCGTTTTAAGCCTGTCAATTTTATAAAACATTGTGAACATTTTTCACATTTAAATGATCGTTGATTGTCTCCATTATCGAATGTGACATCATTTTCATTGGATTCCTCTTTAATATCAAATTTCTGCAAAAAAAAAACATCCAATATAGTAGAGACAAATATTGCAATCTAATTTTTTATTTATTTATAATAATATAATATTAATAATTCTTTATAATATTCATTCATTCAATTCTAGTGTAAAATTTGAGATTAGGATTGTAATACAATTTATATTATACGATTTATTTGTGTTTATTTAGTTTGCAAAAATACTAACCTCTAAAATGTCGTCTTCATCATCCATATTTATTTATAGCTTTGTTTAAGACTACCGCATCGAATATATAAAAAATTATCAACAATCAAATGATTTATTCCTTAAATTGGCATTTTTAACTATTATTTATACATATTTTATTAGAAAAGTATAATTTTTTTTTACTTAACTTTGACAGGTAGTTAATTACTACCTACGCGCTACGCGCAAGTCCAGTAGATAGAACATGGATGAAAATGTTATAAATGTCAATTGTCAATCTGACAAAAAGTAGAAATAATTATTAAAAATTGTTGTATATCAATCAAATTATTAGATATATCAATATTTAATAACAATGGCATATTTATTTCAACCGGAGTACGTTAAATATGTTTGCAGTTGTGGATGTTTGAAACCAATTTCTAAAATTTATTTTTGTCGTCATTGCTTAAAAATTCGATGTGGTTACTGTGTTTGTCAAGAGGTATAAATTAAAATTTATTTATTATTTATTCTTCAATGCATATATCATTTTTTTTTTAGTAAAAAGTGTTATTAACACAAATACACTTTAAGGTTATGTTCAGACAAGTATGTCACTTCTTATTTAGAATTTTCACTTCAATATAATTAGTTTTTTCTTTAATTTTTCTCGTATTTTACAGGTGGACTCACATTATTGTCCGAGTTGTTTGGAGCAATTACCGACATTGGAAGCTCGTATTAAAAAAAACAAGTACTTTTACTTTATTTATATAGAGAGAATTATGCGATAAATTGTTTTTTTTTATATATAATTTTCTTTACTAGGTGTTTCAATTGTTTTGATTGTCCTTGTTGTCTTCAAACTCTATCAGTTCGATTAGGACATGCTTTAATAAAACAAACACCATCAACAACAGAAGACTCAAAGGCGCCTCCAAAAAAAGTTTACTATCTTTTTTGTTCCCTATGTCGATGGAGTTCTAGAGATGCTGGTATTCCTGATCAAAATATTGGTTAGTTTTTAAATAAAACAAATTTCTGAATATTTAAAAGTACTTTAAATAATTTATTTTTTTAATTGACAGCAACTGGTAGTTGGCCGGAACAGGAAAATCCACATACAAATAGAATTAACAGTTTGATTGATTATCATAAAGCTTTGGCGACTAAGGAGAAACAACAACGTGATAAAAAGAAAAAACACACATTTTTACAATTTGTAAGTATTTGTTTTCTTTTTTTTTTTTTTTTCTTTGCTCAAAAAATGTTAAATAGTGTTCTTTTAGGGGAAATTTGGTTTAACATCTGCAATGGCTCATAAGCGAGTTGGTAGACCTCCTTTATCTGAGCCGAAATATCAAGAAAGTAATCGACCAGAAGCTGCCTTGGCAATTGAAAATGTTGATGAATTACCAGACAATATTTTTACCGAGCCTGTTGATATTACAAAAAGTAAGAAAATATTTTTGTCTTTATAACTGTAACAAAAAAGTAATTTTCACCTTTTTCATTACAGTCACAACAATCGAGCAACGTCTTTATCATCCTGAAGTACAAGCGGAAACAATAAATAAATTACGTCCTCAACATAAACAATTTTTAGTAAAACGATCACAACGTTGTCGTACTTGTGAGCATAATGTCAGTAAACCCGATTTTTTGTCTCACTCGACAAAATTTAAAATTCAACTTGCTGCCTTGTAAGTTTCTTTAGAAATTAATATAGAAATAATTATTCGTTATTGATAAAATTCTATTTCAGTTATCACGTACCGGAAGTACGAATTGTAACTTGTGAACCATTGCGTATTGGAAAAACAAGTGAATTATTATTAAAATTTTGCAATCCTACACAACATCAGAGTCAAATTATTTTATTTACCGTTGACACTGACACAATACCAACAACAATAACAACAACTGGCGAGAAAGTTGTTGTCAAACGTGAAACAATGCAACTTGTAAGAATTTTTCAGCTTCTATTGATATTTTCAAATTCGTATTTTAATAAAAATAAAAAATTTTTCCTCAGGGTACAGAATCTCCAAATTTGCTTCCATCGGCAGTTCGACAGATAATTGTAACTGAAGATCCAATACCGATAAAAATTAAACCAAACGCCGAATTAACATTACCGCATAGTGCTTTAATTCTTCCACCTCGTGATGATGCCGCCGAATATGATGATACTGGAGATTCACATAATTTTCAAGACGATCCAAAGTAATTTTATTAATCAAATTGAAATTTATCTAACTTTCCAAAAAATTAATCATAAAATTTTAAATATTTTTTTGCAGATTGGTTGTTTGGCGAAAAGGAAACAAAGCAGTTGTAAGATTACTCGTTACTCCAAGTCCGAGTGAAATGAATGAAGCAGGAAATCCCATTATCATAGGATTCGTAATGCAATACGGATACGTGAATACAATTGCAACATTGGAGCATAAAGCACCACAAAAACTTGATTTACGAGCAAAATTATTTTTAACAGTTGGAAATCTACATGGATCAACATGAATTTAAAAAAATATTTATCAATATTAACTAACATTTGTTATTTTAGTTAATCAAATAATCATAATATATTAGTTATAGAAATTAAGAATGTACGTTATTTTATAACATTAAATTAAAATGTATTAATGACAAAGTATTTATTAATACTTCCAATTTTTTTTATGTAAATTTAAAAAAAAATTTGAATAAAGTAAAAAAAAAAAAAAGATTTATCTTAATTCAGGTTCACATATTTATTGAAATGTAAGACAAATTGCAAAAACGAAAGCAAAAAAAAATTTACAATCTGCGACCGCGACGACCACCCTTTCTGCGTGTTGAATCTGATGGAATTGGAGTAACATCCTCAATTCTGCCGATTTTCATGTTTGAACGAGCCAAAGCTCGAAGAGCCGATTGGGCACCTGGTCCAGGTGTTTTTGTCTTATTTCCACCAGTCGCTCGTAATTTAATATGAAGTGCTGTGATTCCAAGTGTTTTGCATTTTTCTGCAACATCCTAAAAAAAAGAAAGCGCAAAAATTAGATATTTTTTTAAATATTTTAGACCAAATTACGAATTTTTATCTTCTCCCAAAAGTTAGAAAAAAAAGAGGAATATTTTTTTCCGAATTTAAAGGAAGAATTTTTTCTTTTCCACACACATGAACGCTTGCAAAATAGTTACAATGTATCAAATGCATGCTGCCTGAGTGTGGAATGATTTAAATTCAAATAGAAATCAAAATTTTAATTTACATTTCTAAATAAAAAAAAAAAAAGAATAATTACCTGAGCAGCCAACATAGCGGCGTAAGGACTCGCTTCATCCCTATCTGCTTTGACTTTCATTCCTCCTGTGATTCTTGCGATCGTTTCCCTAAAAACATGAAAATTTTTTCATTTATCTCTCAATTTATCGAGTATTAATTTCAAAGAAAAAAAATGTTGTCTTCTCCCAACATTAGAATATAAATGAATTTGACATAAATTTCAAAATGACAGGAAGAATTTTTAATTTTCCACACACATGAACGCCTGCAGGATAGTTACATTGGTATCACCTGTATGCTGCCTGAGTGTGGAACAATTTGACAAGATTTAAAAAAAAAAACAAAAAAAAAATTGGTTTTCAAATAGAAAAACGAAATCAATAATTTGACAATTATCAACTATTCAATAGCAATAGAAGAATAACTAATTAGTATTGAATAACAATAATAATTTGAACTTTGCGAATTTTTCAATTAACAAAATTATTTCTTACCTTCCGGAAAGATCAGTCACATGGACAAAAGTGTCGTTGAAGCTGGCATAAATGTGTGCAACTCCAAATACAATTTCACCTTCTCTGACTTGAGGTCCCAATGAAACCTGCACTTCTTCCTTTTGTACTTTTCGTTTTGGCGCCATTGTTTACTGTAAATATTAATAAATATTTTTTATAGCAATTTTAATAAATAAAACTAATTACTTTTTTCAATTAGAAAACAAAACACCATATAACAAAAAAAAAAAAGTATCAATATTTCAATAAGATTCTAAAAATGGCATCACGTCAATGGAAACACAATGCGGATGTCGATGATTTTAGATCCAAACACATCACTGTTCATAATTATTAAAATAACGATTTTTTAATTAATTATTAAATTGCAATACTTTCACATTAAGAATATATTATTATTTATAACAAAATATTGATACTTTTCTATCAAATTATAAGAAAATAATCACAGCTAAACTCATTTAACCTTACTTATAGCAGACAGGAAACTAGAAAGAAAGGTTAGAAAGGACAGCCAACATTGAGAGTGAAAAATAAAATTTACTTACGTTGGCCAACCTGAAGAGTAATAAAAATTTGAAATTAAAATTATTTCTCATTTTTGTTTTTTATTTATTCATTGAATCTATTTTTATAAAATTAAAATTTTTTGCAAAAAAATTAAAATTGTTTAATATATTAAATTAATTAATGAATAAATAAATTAGAACAATTTATCAAAGCATACAAATTTATTAACAATAGTACAAAAATATAAGTAGAATTTACATATTTTTAATTAAAAAATAGAAATATTTTTGCAGGTACAAATTACTACATTGTTGAGTTTTTTTTTGTAATGAAAATACTTAATTAAAATGAAATAAACACGAACGAAACGTAATAAATACAGTAAGTAGAAAAAAAAACAATTTTATAATTAGATTTTTAAAATTGGTAAAAGCTTCCAAATTTTTCTCATGTTGATGATTTAATCGGAGTCAACAAATTCATCATCGTCTGCATCATCAACAACCTGGATAACAAAAATTTAATGGAATCTTTTAAAATAATTAATTAAATTAATATTCAATTAATTAAATAAATATTTTCAATGGTAAATTAAATTAATGGAAAATTTAGTTTTTAATGTAAAATTAAAAATACGATATTTTACCATTGATCTACTAGTTCTGGTCGATGTTCTAGAGGTAGTGATGTCTAAGAAATTACGAAGATTTGCAGAAGAATTGGCAGCTTTTGGCGTTGCTCTTCCTCGAGGTTTTCTTGTTGTTGTTGTTTCACCTCGAGCTCGACCTCTGCCACGTCCTCTACCTCGACTTTTCGTTGGTTGAGGTTCTTCATCGTCTTCCATATCGTCATCGGAAATAACAACTGTTTGCAATCTTCCACTTCCTCTTGCGCCTCTACCTCGACCTCTACCTCTCGTTTTAGTTGGAACATTTAAAACATCATCTTCATCACCATTATCAACATTTCTATTAACATTTTCACGCTCTTCTCTTTCCTTTCGTCTTTTTGATGCTTCTTCACGCATTCGTAGAAACTAAAAATAATCAAAACATTAAAAAAACTAAAATACACTAAAAAAAAAATAATTCACTCACCTCTTCGTTTTCTCCACTGTTTACTAATCGATTACTTTGGAATTCTTTCATTTTTTCCAAAATATTCTTCTCATCATTAAAATCAATATTTAATTTACTTAAATATTCGACAAATGATTGTTTTTGATCTCTGAAAATCAAGATATAATTGTTTCATAATTGTTACGTGAAAAAAAATAATAGTAAAATACTTACTGCACAAGTGTTTCAAATGCTTGAAGATTTGAATGATCAGTGAATTGTGACAAAGCATCATTGAGTTCATTAACAGTAAAAACTGTCAATTTTTCAGAATTTTGATCCTCGGCGAAATATTTACAAATTCCATCTTGAACCGTTTTATTCCATTCTTTTTCATCCTAGAAAAAAAATTAAAGAAAAATTAATTTTAAAAAAATCTACTAAAATAGAAAAAGAATTAAATAATAAAAAGAAACATACGTAGATATCTTCGAAGTCAAAAAATCTAGATGGACCCATATTATCAAATTTTGTATCTAAAAATGCATGCCTTCTTGAATCTTTGACAAAAAGTATAATATCCATAGGATTCGCAACATCTTCGCAGAATATTTGAGAAATTCTGTTTTCAAAAAAAAAAAAAATTATTGTAAAAAAACTGTATTAACAAATTAATTAATTTTTCATAACTTACTTATTATTTTCAAATCGTTGTTCGTCTTTGGATATGTGTACTTTGACTCTAATTAACGGCAATGTTGGTTGTTCAGGATGTCCTAAAAATTTAAACATCGTTATTTAATTTAATTTTATAAATACTATTAAAATTTTTAATTAATTTAATAAAATACCTGTTAAAAGATTCGCAGCACGTGGTATCATTTCGTCTTCAATATAATCGCGAACGTATTTTAAAATTAGATCAGGCCATAATTCTTCGCTTTTATTAATTAAATCGGGCATATCCTTGTCAACAACAACATTACCAAGTACAAATGGTCTTACTGTTTTTAATTCTAGAGCTTTTAATTTAAAATACGTTTTGTGAATCGATAATAAACCAACTTGTTTAGGAACTGCTTCGGCATCGCTCAACGATGTTGCTACAGAACTTCCTAAATTATATCAATTTTTTTTTTGTTAAAATTTCAAATATGAAAATATATTAATTTAAATTACAAATTTTTGTTCACCTGGCTGTGAAATAAAATATTTTGCATCGCCTTCAACTTCTTCGGGTTGAATTCGACATTCATGCTCGTGGCCCCACATAACAAATTTAAGAAATTTTGGCAATTTATCTTGTTTCACGTAAGTTAAATTATTGAATTTTCCATGACACACTCGATTTTGATGTAGAACAAACATATTGAAACTTTCGGGAATTTCTGTTGCTCTTAACATTTTAAACTGTAAAATCAAAATATAGAATTAAAACAAAATTCATTGTTTTTGTGGAATAGGAAAAAAAAAAAATTGTTTACATTGCCATCTCGCATAAGTCTTGCTAATCTTTTATCATTTATATAACTTAGTCCATAGAGGGAAATGTAAGTTTGTCCTTTTTTTAAAATCAATGGCGCAATTTCCACTTTCTCTAAATTTGTCCATTTTCCAAAATAATTCACTAAACCTGTTTCGGATAAAAGATCTAATGAACCCGTTGCTCCGGAACCTGTAATAAAATAATCATGTAATTCAATTTTTAAATTGGGATATATTGTAAAATATATTCAAAATAATAAAAATTACTTGGATCATCGTGATTTCCATGAATCGAGAAAACTGGTATGCTAATATTAAGATTTGGATCTTCAAAATTTACAGTTTTATTACTGCAATCCTTAAAAATTAGTTCTGGATCAGTAAGCATTTGAATTTTAATATTGCTAAAATAGAAAAATTGAGAGACATAAAATAAAATTTGAAAATATTGTTTAAAATAGAAAAGTTAAAAAAAAAAAAATACATACCGAGTTCCCATACAATATTTTTTAAGCAATGAAATACATTTTGCAATTATATCTTGAGGTGGTTTTGTTTCATGGAACAAATCACCTCCTAGTAAAATAAAATCAACTTCATTTTCCACTGCCAATTTTAAAATCTCTTCGAATGTTATTAAACTGTCGTCTAGTTGATCTATAATAAAAAAAAATGCTACTTAAGTAAATTTTTAAATATTTCCTTTATCTCTAAAACCAATTTTTAACATTGTTTTAAATAAATTTTCCATCAATTTGAACAAAAATATAGTCCACCGGTCTATTTAATTTTTAAATTTTGAGGTTATAATTTAAACGTCAATCGAAAAAAGTAATAAATTCATAATTATTAGAAAAATACGTATACATTTAATCAATTTTCAGAAAGAAATATTAAAAATATTATATAAATTAATAAAAACAAACAAACCTCGTTTTGTTGTTCGTTCATAACCTAAATGACAATCAGTTGCAAGTAATATTTTAAAAGTATCCTCTGGATCAAAATTTTCCACGGGAATATCGTCTTCATGTGATTGATTTTCTTCATTATCGGACATTTTAGAAATATTATTTAATGTTAAATTGGTGATAATTCTTTTGATCTAAATTGTGTGTCACTCTGCTTTGATAACAATGTGAGCCACGGGGGTGAAACCGGTGAAACGCAATGCAAAAGTGAAGGCAGAGCACTATACGAGTCATTGAGTAACTATAAAAATAATTGTCCACTTGACTTCAGCAGTTTTGAGTGGCAAATGAAACGGGATATTTGAATTCATTTAAATATAGTTTTATAAGTAAAATATTACAATAAAAAGAAAGCAGAAAATTTACGAACTAATTTCAATAAACAAATCTACTGTAGACGCAGCCTTAGGCAGACTATTTTACTGCAATTTCTTGCACAAAATAAACCTAAAAGTGTAAAAAAAATTGACAGCCCAATACATGTAGAGGAAGACAAAAATTATTACCCATAAGTCAACCACAATCACAAAAAAATTCACAAAAAAATTCAATTTTTCTTAGGCAGACTATTTTATTGCAATTTCTTGCACAAAATAAACCTAAAAGTAAAAATTTAATAATTTTAATTATAACTCTTCCGAAATATAATTATTTTTTTAAAATGATTTTTATAATATTTTTCGAAAATCCAATTATTGCTAAAAACTTCAATTGTAACTCTTAAAAAATTCAATTATTTTCTAATTATTTTAATGAAATTCGTCGAATTAAAGAATTTATAAAATTCAATAATTGTTTAAAATTTAAAAAAAAATCAGCAAATAACATTATCAAAAATTTTCAATTTAAAATCACCTGTAAAATTTAATTACATACCTATTTCTAAAATTTCCTATCTAAAACTTTCTGAAAGTTAATAATGTCAACTATAACTCTCCTGAAATTCAATTATTTTTAATGATTTTTATAATATTCTTGGAAAATTCAATTATTATCTAAAACCATTTTTCACTTAAAAAATTTTCAAATACTTTTTTTGTTTTCAATTTCTAATAAATTTTTCAGTAACAGAAATCATCAAAAAAAATTTAATTCAAAATCACTTAAAGTACAATTGTTTTCAAAATTCTGAATTGTAAATCTTTTGAAAATTCAATTATTTTTAAAAAATATTATCTAAAATTATTTGATAAATTATTTTCAGTTCTGTAAAATTTAATTATTGTATGAAATTTATAACAAAATCTTTTGAAATTCAATTATTTCTAAAAATTTCAACTTTAACTCTTCCAAAATTGAATTATTTTTCATAATTTTAATATTTATATTATTCAAAACTATTTTTAAAAAAAATTTATTTAAAAATCTGTAAAACTTAATTATTGTCCGAAATTTTTTTTGACCATCAAAACTAAAAACTATGACATTTTAAATTCGAATTAATTTGCTAAAATCAGAATTGAAAAAATTATAAAAATGGAACTTTAAGAATTTTTTTTTTAGAAAAATTTGTCCTATTTAAATAAAATTTTGAAAATTTGTTTTAATTCAATTCTGAAATATTCAAAATAAATTTTCTTGACAATATTCTTGTAGAATTATTCTCATTACAGAAATAATAAAATGAATTTAATGTCTAATAATATTTTATTTAAAGTAAAATATTTGTTAACTAATTAAATTTTGTTAAAATAAAAAATCGACTTTTTCTACTTTTTTTGAAATGTAAATCGACTAAAACGATTTTTTTCGCGCCTTAAAGTCGATTCGAGGCCTGTAATAATAATAATGATAATAATAATTTCAAGAAATATGTATTTCATTTTTTATATTTTTAATTCAGTTAAAAGTCGTTTTAGTCGATTTACATTCCAAAAAAGGCGATTTTTTTTTATTTTAATTAAATTTAATTAGTTTATAAGTAGCTGTTTTACTTTAAATAATAATTATTGTTATTAGATATTAAATCCATTTTATTAATTCCTTAATAAAAATAATTTTAAAGGAATATTTTCAAGAAAATTTATTTCTAATATTTCAGAATTGAAGACGTAAATTTTAAAAATTTTAATTAATTTAGAGAAAAATTTTAGTTAAAAATTTGTTAAATAATTGAAATAAAGAAAATCTGAAGAACTGCATGCATTGTATACTAAAAAAGATGTATTTTGTATAAAAATTTTGTAAAAAAAATGTAACAAAAAATCGTATCTTATTTAAATAAGTCGAAAAAAGTCAGAAAAAGTCGTATAATCCGAAGCCTACGATGCGTGTCTATTAACCTGACGTATCAGCTTGGACTGTGCAAAAAAAAACAAAATTAAAAGAAAAAAATGTAACGTGTTGAATTTATTTATAAAAAAAAGAATATGGTGTTTTAAATAAAATTATTAATATTAATTAGGTTTGACCTGAAAATGATGACGAACCGTCATCGAAACGTCGTATTTTATTTTGTGACAATAAATAACAAATCTCTATGTTATTTTATTCCTTCCAAGGATCGATTTTTTTCAATTATAAATATTCCGTAGTTTGAATTTATAACTTCAATAAATGCTCAGTAAAGTTTCTGCGAGGGTTATGACACCTTTTAATTATTATTATATTACAACATATTAATGCTAATGATAGCTAGTCAAAGAAAAAAAAAAATTAATTAATTAAAACAAACACAGTCTGCACAGTATCCTGTACGGTGGTCATTACAGATCGGTCTTTTGCACGATGGGCAGCATGACCTTGTTTTTCTGTCTTTTTTTACTGGACACATGGCACATCGCTTATAACGATCCATAATAATAAGTTTAGAGTCATTTTGAAGTTCTTCTTTAACGTCAATATTCAAAATTCCTGCTAAAGCATAGTGAATATCTTTGCGCAATGTCATTTTTGTATATCGTTCCATTAAAAAAGGTTTCACTAAATAATCAATCACTCCCTGCATGTATTGCTGTGCTGTTAATTTTGTCTGATTTCCATTGTTTAACAATTTACACGACAAAAGAATTCTTGCATTAACAATTGCCTGATCTAAAATACCAAAAAATAATCGCATCGACCATCTATTCGTTATTCTGCTTGTTGTAAATGAATTACATAATTTATGAAATGTATCAGTAGCACCTTTTGTTTTATTATAATGGTGAATCATATTTGGCTTTCCATCAGTTATTTCAGTTGATATAAATGATGACGTAAGTAGAATAATTTTATTTTTCTTCGGTGTATACGAAAGTAACGTTATTTTATCATTGAAACAAAATTTACTATTTGAAATTTCCTTACTTGCAATTTGCATTTCGTTTGGAATTTCACGTTGTTTTTTTTTTATTGCACCTGTTATTGTAAGATTGTATGGATCTTCCAACATTTTTTCAACAAGTGGAACACTCGTAAACCAATTGTTGCAGGTTACTGTACGATTTGTTCCATGAATTGGAGTTGTTACTTCGCGAAAATAAAATTCTGACACTGATTCGTCATTGTCAATTCCAGAATTTTTCCCCAAATAAGGAATGGCATTGAGCTAAAATAGTAAAAAAAAAATTAGAAACATTAAAATTATTTAATTTCAAAACAAAATCCCCCAACAAAAATTAAATACCATGTATGCAGTTTCAGCGTCATTAAGCGTTTTTATCAATAATCCATATTTATTAGGTTTCGTTTTCTTAAAAACTCGAAATTGACATCGTCCTCTAAAACCATAAATTATCTCGTTCACCGTACACGTATTACTGGGATTATAATATTTCTTGCAATTTTCAATGAATATATCCCAAAATTTACGTATTGGAGAAAATTTATCGTCAGCATTACGATTACATTTGACATCAAAACGTAAGCACGTTGACAAAAATTCAAATCGTTTTTGTGGCATTACACATTTGTAAAATGATATTCCATTTTCTCTACCCCATAGTCTTTTTACATCGACTCGATGAGATTTCCACAAACCAGAATAATATAAAATAGCAATGTATGCTTTTATTTCATCAACATCAGTAAATTTATGATAACTTTGCGTTTCTTTCTCCTCAGATTTTAGATGCCAACAAAAATCATCAATTTTATAATTTGTACACACAACGATAATATTAATCATTTCATCATTAAATAAAATATTCCAAAATTCATGGATTAATTCTAAATTAGCAGCTGCGTTCATTGGACCAGGAATATATTCAAGTAGATTAACAGAATGATGTTCTACAAAAAATAATAGAAATATTACATATGATTTACTCAAGTCAAAAAGTCCATTTTTTTATTTTCAATAAGTATTTTATTACTATTAACAATTTATTAGAAATTAAATAAAATTTATTAATTCCTTAATAAGAATGTTTCACAGAAATATTTTCAACAATTTTTCTTTTTAAACCACCGAATTAAATTGATATAAATTTTCAAGATTTCAATTCAGTTTCAGAATAAATTTTCAAAAATAATTTAAAGTTACATTAAAAAAATGAAATTGAAACTTTTATAAATTTGAATTAATGAAAAAAATTTTTTTTTATAAATTTCAGACAATAATTGAATTTTAGAGAATTTTCAACTGAAATATATATATGTTCTAAATAATTGATTTTTGATGGAGCTACAGTTAAGATTTTTCGAAATAATTACATTTTTTGAGATTTCAAAAATTATAATTCTGTTGTAAATATAAACATTAATTGAAAAACGATTTAAAGAATTGAACTTTTGAAAAATTGGATTAAAACTGTTCAAATTATTAATTAAACAAAGAATTATATATGTGGAAAATTTTTTTTTAATTGAATTAACATTCAATTAATTATTCAATTACTACTTGAATTTGGAAGAGTTCAAGTTAACATTTTTTTGTAATTAAATTTCAGAAAATTTTAAATTGAAACTTTTATAAATTTTAATTGATAAAATTTTTACAAACTTTAAAGAATAATAAAATTTTAGAGTATTTTCAATTGAAAAATGTTTTAAAAACTTGAATTTTTGATTTTTGAAATTTATTTTTTTTTATTTATTATTTTTAAGGAGTAATTTTTTCTATATCCAGAGCAAAAGTTGCCAGAAATACCTTAAAGTTTCAATTTTACTTTGTAAGTATAGTAAAAGTTACTATATATTTTTTTTTCCCGTGTAACAATAAATAAAGATAATAAAAAATTTTTAATATAAATTCTATTGCCAACCTGACTTTGTCGTACTCCAAACGTAACCATTTTTTCCCTTCAATTTTGATACAGATCTATCGCAAGAATTGCTGAGGCGCATTTTTTTATTCCGCGAACCATTTTCCAATTCCCCCGCGAAATCTTCAATTACTTCTTCTTCACTTTCGGTTCTATTCTCATCATCAGAGATCTCGGTAACATTATCTTCTTCATCATCACTGACTTCTTCGTAAAAATTATCAATGTCCTCATGGTCTTGCTCGGTTTTCAAAAATATCTCATGAAAATTGTGAGCGTCTAAATTATTGTTCGCCATCTATTATAAATGTAAAAAAAAACTGTTAATATTTGTGCAAATTTAACTTCTGTTCAATTCTTGTAGATGAGAAAAAAATTTGTTTTTATTTTTTAAGAAATATTCCATTTTTCTCAAAAAGTACACTATAGTTATAAAAAAATTTATTTTATAAAAGTTATGTTTCGCTTTAAAAGATGTGAAAAAATGTCTATTGGCGTTTTGCGGTTTTACAATAAAATTCTCAAAAAATTGATTTAAAGTTCATATTTATTATTTTCTAGTATCAGTAATAAAACTTATTGAAAAATTTGTTTTTTTTTCCATAGCAACATGTTAATAGTTAAATATCTTTGCTGATATGCAGGTTAAAATTTCTATTCCTCCGCGGATTTAATTAATTAATATTAATAATTTATATAATATATAATAAATTGTTTATAATAATTATTAATATTAATTGCATGTTATTAATACACAAACAATTGATTAAAAATTATATTTCATATGAAATTTTCGAAAAGAATTTATAAACCACAATTTTCCGAGTTAACATTTTATTCCACTGGCGAAGGGAATTTAAATTAAAATTTAATATTCGTTAATTAAATTAACGAGGGGCGTCAAAATATTTTAATTTAGGAAAATCGATCTTTAAAAGAAAAAAGATTCATGCTACGGAGATGTAACAATAGTTAATTTATTAATTACATATTAATAATTACATATTTGATTAAAATTACATAAAAGGCAGAGAACCCCACCATTTGTTTATGTGAGATTATTTAACTATCCTCCTATATATTAAATCCCAAATGCCGCATACACGCTTTGTGAGCTTCTATGAGATGGCCACACTCAGCTTCGCCTTTTTCAATAATACTGAAAGTGAAAATTAAATACTATTAACCTGTATTACAAGTACAGTTTAAAAAAATTATTTCTTTGCTTTCATTACAAATGTAAATTATTTATTACCATAATTCAAAGAGTTTTTTAAAAATATAAGTTAAACGGGTTAATTCTTACCTCATACGCAGTATACAAGAGAAACTTAACTTCAAGTATACTATAAGTATATTATTTAATACTATTATTAAGTAAATGAATTAACTAAAACCATATTAATTAATTATAATTTTCCTTATTCTTTATTTTTATTTATCTTATTTCAGGCTTCGGATCGACTTTAAGACGTAAAAAAGTCAATTTACATTTAAAAAAAAGTCGAAGAAGTCGATTTTTTATTTTTATTAAATTTAATTAGTTAATAAGTATTTTAGTTTAAATAATTAGTGTTATTAGATAATAAATCCATTTTATTAATTCCTTAAAATAAAAATACTTCTATAGGAATATTATCAAGAAAATTTATTTAGAATATTTCAGAATTCAAGACGTAAATTTTTTAAATTTTAATTAAGTAAAACAAATTACTAAAAAATAAAAAAAAATTCTGAGAACAATTTCAATTTTAGAGATTTTATTTGAAACTTTTTTAAATAATTAAATTTTTTTTAAAATATTAAAATTATTTTAAAAAAATTAAACTTTGGAAGAGTTATAGATGAACTTTTTAGAAATAATTGAATTTCAAAAGATTTTATTAAATTTTAGAAAATAATTAAATTTTACAGAATTATTAAATTTCAAAAAGTTTTAGATGGAGAATTTTTAAAATAATATACCTATTTTTATTTATTTTAAATTAAAATGTTTGTTAATCTCTGTTAATGAAGAATTTATTAGTAATTGCAAACAAAAATTGAAATTTAAAATTTTTAAATTGAAAAATGCTTTTGAATAATTGAATTTTTGAAGAATTTTATAAAAATCATTTAAAATCATTAAATTTTAAAAGATTTTAAATTGAAATTTTTGAAAATAATTGAATTCAAGTTATTTTGAATTGAAATTTTTAGTGATTTCTGTTGCTGAAAAATATATTAGAAATTGTAGACAAAAATTTAATTTAAAAATTTTTTAATTGAAAAATGCTTTCACATAATTAAATTTTTGGAGAATATTATAAAAATCATTAAAAATAATTAAATTTCAGAAGAATTATAATTGAAATTATTAAATTTTATTTAAAAATTTGTTAAATAACTGAAATAAAGAAGATCTGAAAAAGATCTGCATTGTATACTAAAAAAGACGTATTTTGTATAAAAATTTGGTAAAAAAAAAGTGGAAAAAGTTGCATCTTATTTAAATAAATCGAAAAAAAGTTATTTTATTATTATTATTTATGTATTGATTAATTGACAGTATTGTTATAATTATTGTTTTCATCAAATAGCGTATTAGGCAATTTCTTCAAAAAAGAATGCAATGAAATACTAAGATACTTTACAGTGTTGTTAAAATGATAATTATTTAATAATAGTGGATGAAATACAATTTTGTTCAATGAAAATTAAAATGTAAATAAAATTCTACAATTACAGAAGAACCAGTAAAATTTTAAACAATTGAAAATTACATTGTTGTAAATGCCAATTTTCTTTGCAATTCTTTAAGATCTAAAATTTATTTAAATTATTAAAAAACAATTATTTTACTATATTTTTATTTTGAAAAAATTTTTAAAATTCGTACGATTAAAATAATAAATAAAGTATTAAAATTTTCAATGAAAAAATATAAAAATAAATTAATTAATCCTGAGTTTTAAAAAAAAGTCTCAGGAATGTCTATTCTTGTTTGTCATATTTTAAAATTTAAAAAACCATATTTCATTTTATAAAATATTGGAATAAAATAATTTTTGAATCATTTTAATATTTCTTCAATTTTTAAAAACTTAATTTTTTTGAAAAAAAGTTAAAATATTTTCGATTTATTTTTTAGAATAGGGAAAAAAGTGTACAAAAATTAGAAATGAAAAATAGAAATATTATTATAAAAATTTTAATTTTAATTTTTGCATAATTTTTATTTTTATTCAAGAAAAATATGCTTTCTAATTATTCCAGAAATAGAATAATTTTAATTAAAAATTTTCAATAATATCGAAAAATAAATTACTATATAAATAACCCGCAGAAAAAATTATATTATTTTTTTAAGATGAAATCAATAAAAAGCAAATTATTTTCGCTATATAACAAAATATTGATATAACCTTGAGTAATATTTAAAAGAAAAATCATAATTTTGTAAATTTCGGTTATACATTAAAAAGATTATTACATTTATTATAAAATCGAAAGTATTTATATAAAATATTACAATGAAATATCATTTTACAAATATAACTTTTTTTTTTGCAAAAAATACATACCATGTATCACGTATCTTTTTCGTTTCAGGACAAGCACAACAAGGCTTTAATTTCTTTTCTTTGTTAGTGTTTGGTGATTCAATTTTTGTTGATGAACTTCCCATATTTTATTGAAATTTATTAATTGTTTTCTTAATATGATAATTACTATTTTTTCCCTTTAAATCAACTTTAAAATAGATTAAAAAATGAACTATTTTCAAGTTTCTTTTAAATTTATTTATTTCTTTCAGCTGCCGACTTTCTGGAAAAATGTGACTAACCTTACTGCCATCTGTAGTCGGTATTCTCAAACACTGTTCTCCTCAAGCTGATTCTACAACAATCTCTTTTTTTCAGTTTGGTTTCTATTGTCCCCACTCGCCAAAATCGCCATTTGTCATAATTCTCGTCAACTACCGCATCCTGTTCTAGTGAAAATTTAGTATCTTTATGGTAACTTTTAATTTTAACAATAAAATCACTAAATTTTCACTAGAGCAGGGTGCGGTAGTTGGCGAGAATTATGAGCAAAAAGGGGTGCTCAACTTAATTTTTTCAAATATTTAATTTTTACACATTTTTGTCCTTTTCTAACGCACATGTTGCCATGACAACACGTGAGTTAAAAAAGGACAAAAATGTGTAGGCATATCCAAGGTTCTGAAGTTACGTGTAACTTTTAATTGTTAACGTATAATACAGTAGTATACATTATGTATATATTGTTTGTACTTCTCTAACTTATTATTCCGGTTGCGTTTGCGTTTACGATTCCGATTACGTTGGCCTTAAGATAGCTTTAAGGTGCTTTCATATCTTTTTGATTTTCGGCGAGCGATGTGTCACATTTCGAATGTTTCACTATAAAGGCGTTTGTATACCTCACCTATCTCGAGTATACTTGTGTCGTGTACCATTGGAGTAAAAGAGACAGAAATATCTTTTGTTTCTTTTACTCCAATAGTACACAACAGAAGTATACTCGGGATCGGTGAGGTATACAAGCGCCTTAATAGGAAAATTACAGCAGCGCCATCGGCAGAAAAATGAAACTTGATGATGTAAATTAAACACATATACGCGAATTAGATAATAAACCTGTTGTAACGTGCACATTTTCTTTGTGTGTGAAAATGTTTTTTCAAATGTATTAAATCATTTAATGCGATTTCCACTTATATTTGTAATCAGCAATAGCACAAAACGTAAAATAATTTACTCTTGATGCAAATGTAAGTGAAGACATTTTTTTACATTATTCGTCTTGATTGTTGATATAAAAAATAAAATGTAGAAATAACAATTTTCGAATATTTGAAAATTAAACGTTTTCTTTCGACACTCTTGTACAATAAAAGAGGTTAGTATTTGTTATTTTAGTATACTTTGATAATTTATTTTGAAAAAAATACACTGTAATATATGATTAAATTTATTTTACAGAGTTTAAAACTTTTTCTCTCATCTACGAAATTATACACAACATAAACAATAAACGTTAAATGTGCCATTTAAAGGTATGATTATTTATGTATTATGAAATTATGATTACTCATTAAAAATTTATTTTTATTCTAATTTTCTATTATTTTAGTTAAATTTTATAATAATGAATTCTTGATTTTTTTTCTCATAAATTAATAAGTTATATTAAATGACATGTTTATTATTTGCTTATAGACGAAAACTTAACCTCCAAAACATTGTTTGTCATTTGTTTTTGTTTTTATCAATTGTTTATTTGTAAAATAAAATTAATTGTTGAAAATTTTAGTTTTTAACGGGTTGACAATAATTTTAAACAATTTTAATCGATTGACTTCTATACGAGATAATTTTGAAAAAATATTTATTTAAAATCACAAGGTGCTATTTTTAGAAATTTTTTATTAATTTTATCTTGTCACATAATGTATTTCGTATTTTTTTTTTACAATTTTCAGAAAATAATTTAATTTTAGAGCATTAACATGCAATTAATTATTCAGTTACTAATTGAATTTAAAGGAGTTCGAGTTGAAAATTTGTTCGAAGTAATTAATTTAATTAATTACTGTAATAATACTAAAAATTATAACACTATAATAATTTAATTAATTCTTAATTAATTTAAGAAAATTTTCAAATGAAAAATGTTTTAAAAAATTGAATTTTTGATTTTTGAAATTTTCAATTACAATTTTAATAAAGTTGAATTGTTTGAAATTTTATCAAAAAAATTATATAAACAAAAATTTTATTTTAAAGAATTAATAATTTAAAAAAATTTTATTTGATTAAACTTAAAAAACTTGATTAAAGTTATTAGAAATAATTAATTGAAAAAGAAATTGAAGTTAAAAATTTTATAAATAATTGAGTTTTGGAAAAACCAAATGTAGTTAAAATTTTTTGTATTAATTGAATTTCAGGAAATTTTTAATTAAAATTTTCGTAAATTGAAATTTCTGTAGATATTTTAAAAGATTTAAATTAATATTAATCTTTGGAGAATTTTGAATTGAAAAATGTTTTAAATAATAAAATTTTTGAAAATGTTGATTAAAATTATTAAAATTAAATTATTCAACAATTTTAATATTATTTAATTTAATTTTTCAGACAGAAAATTTAGAAATAATTGAATTTGGAAGAGTTGGATTTAAAAAATAATTGAATTTCAAGAGATTGTCAATTGAAACATTTATAAATTTGAATTAATGAAATTTTTTTTTAATTTCAAACAATAATTGAATTTTAGAGAATTTTTAACTGAAATATGTTCTAAATAATTGAATTTTGATATATTTTAATATATTTAGAAATAATTGCATTTTCTGAGATTTAAAAAATTATAATTTTGTTATAAATAGGGGTCGTCCATAAATTACGTAAGACTTTTTTCTGGTCATTTGAACCCCCCCCCCCTCCTCTATGTAAGATTTTTTCCATGCATTAGCGCCATTTTTCCTATTGTTCGTAAGAAATACTTGACCTTCCCTCCCCCCTAAAAGTCTTACGTAATTTATGGACGGCCCCATATAAACTACAGTTAAAAAACGATTTAAATAATTGAATTTTTGAAGAATTGAATTAATTCTGTTGAAATAATTAATTAAACAAAGTTATATAGAGATAAAAAATTGTGGAAAAAAATTTTCAATTGAATTAACATTCAATTATTTATTCAATTATTAATTGAATTTGGAAGAGTTCGAGTTAAAAAATTTTTTAAAGTAATTTAATTTCAGAAGATTTTAAATTGAAACTTTCATAAATTTTAATTAAAACCATTTTTTTACAAACTTACAAGAATAATAGAATTTTTATTTATTTATTTATTGAGAATGTAAATATTATCAGAGTGTCCAGCGGTCAGGAAAGTAAGGTAAATTATTAAAAATTTGCCAAAAATGAACATTTTTATGAATTTGCGCCAAGAAATTTCGTACAAGATAGTAATTTGAAAAAAAATTAATTTTTAAGGTACCAGGGGCCAGCGAATACCTATTAAATATTAATTATAAAAACACATGCCTCGAATCAACTTAAAGACACAAAAAGTCGTTTTAGTTGATTTATATTCCAAAAAAAAGTGGATTTGTTTTTTATTTTAACAAAAATATTTTACAGATTTTTAAATAACAATTTTTTTTTAATAATAATCCTTTTCGAAGGGTTAAAGTTGAAATTTTTAGAAATAATTAAATTTCAAAAGATATTGTTAATTTTCAAACAATTATTAAATTTTACAGAACTAAAAATAATTTATCAAACAATTTTTGGAAAACATTTTTTAAATTTAATTGAATTCTCAAAGATTTAAAATTGAGATTTTTGAAATTAATTGAAACTTTAAGTGTTTTGTAATTAAAATTTTAGATGATTTCACTAAAAATTTATTAGAAAATGCGGACAAAATACAATAATTTGAAAATCATTTTTAATTGAAAAATGGTTTCAGATAGTTGAATTTTCAAAAATTATTATTAAAATAGTTAAAAATAATTGAATTTCCTTAGAGTTATAATTGAAATTATTAAATTTCAAAACAAAAAATTTTCGATGGAAAATTTTAGAAATAATTAAATTTTAGATGCTTTTAAATTCAAATTATTGAAAATTCAATTAATTTTGAATTCAAATTTTTGAGAATAATTAAATTTTATTTGATTTTAAATTTGGAAAATAATTGAATTTCAGTTCATTTTAAATTGAAAATTTTGGGAAATAATTGAATTTTAATTGAAATTTTTGATATTAATTTAATTTAAGTTCATTTTTGATTGAAAATTTGGATAATTAATTTTGAATAGAAATTTTAGAAAATAATTGAATTTTATTTCATTTTAAATTGAAAACTTGGTAAATAATTAAATTTTAAATTGAAAATTTTGGATAATTATTGGATTTTTAATTGATTTTGAATTGAAATTTTTAAAAAATAATTCAATTTTATTGTGATATTTTTTTTTTTTTAATTATAAACAATTGTTAAATTTCATAAAAATTTTAATTGAAAAATAATTTTGATATAATTGAATTTGTGATGTATTTCATTAAAATTATTTAAAATAATTAATTTAGTGAAGAATCATTTTAGTTCAAAATTTGTTAAATAAATGAATTGAAGAAGATCTGAAGAAGATCTACATTTTATACTAAAAAAAGGTATTTTATTTACATTTTTTTTCAAATGTAAAAAAAAAGTCGCATTTTATTAAAATAAGTCGATAAAAGTCGTATTTTTGAAAAAAGTCGGAAAATATCGTATAATCTGAGGCCTGTAAACATATAATTTTCATTATTATCATTTAATATGTAATAATATTCTAATAAATTAAATTATTATTGATAATATTAATCTTTAATTTCTTTACAACAAATAATCAAATACTCAATTTGGCGCGCTTGCGCGCGTTTAACTTTGCTAGTTTTAAATAAAATTTTTAGAATTACCTCATTGAATTATAGAGAATTTTAAATTGAAAAATGATTTAAAAAATTGAATTTTCGATTTTGAATTTTTGAAATTTTCAATTAAAATTTTAATAAACTTTAATTATTGAAGTTTTTTGAAAATTATATAAACAAAAATTTAATTTTAAAGAATTAATTATTATAAAACGTTTTATGTAATTGAATTTTTGAAAAACTTGATTAGTGTTATTAAAAATAATTAATTGAAAAAGAAATAGAAGTTTAAAATTTTATAAATAATTGAGTTTTGGAGGAGCAATAGTTAAAATATTTGTAATTGATTTTAAATTTTCGTAATGAGGAATTTCTGTAGATATTTTAATAAGCTTTAAACAATAATTAAACTTTGGAGAATTTTGAGTTGGAAAATGTTTTAATAATTGAATTTTCGAAAATCTTGATTAAAATTATTAAAATTAAATTATGCAACAATTTTAATTTTATTTATTTATTTATTGAAAATATACGGGCAAAGTCACAAATTTAGATAAAAAATTGAGAAATAATTGTATTTTAGGATAGTTTCTAGTTAAAATTTTGAGAAATAATAATTGAATTTCAGGAGATTAATAATCGAAACTTTCATTTTGAATTGGTGAAATTTTTTTTAAAAACTTTAGACAATTGAATTTTAGGGAAATTTTCAATTGAAAACTATTTTAAGTCATGTAATTTTCGAAGAATTTGATTTAAATTATTTGAAATAATTGATTTTGCAAACAATTCAAGTTATTATATTATTTTAATAATTCAATTTTAAAATCTAAATAAAAAGTTGGGGAGGCCTTTTATTGAAAACCTCTTCAAATAAGTGTCAGGGAAAAAATTTTAACTTTGACTGGAAATCAGAGAAAAACAAAATAATATTTTTCTGTCAATGTTGTTAATATTATGTTAAAAATAAATTTTTTAAAATTATAATTTAAAGAAAGTTCTATAACAGAAAAATGATTAAATTTATTTAATTTTTTTTTCAGATTTATGAAGTCTGTGCCTTGCTTCAAACCAGTTTGGAGAAATATTTAAAAATTTCCATGAAAAGCAATTACATTAAAGGTATAAATCTATGTTTTTACAACGAAAAATTAAGATTCGTTGCAAATATCAAACTTTAATGTTACTAACAATTAGAAAAATTCACTGATTATTGTTTTTCATTGTTATTATTTTTTTTTTTTTGCTATTCAAAATGAATTCAACAAATGATAATAATTATTTTAAACCAAAATGTAAAGGATCCAAATATTCTGGTTCATCTGAAGAATATTATGAAAAGGGATTGGAAATTTTGAATCCTTCAATGAAAAAATTCTTCAATTCCTTGAAATTATCACCTAAGGTATTATTTGTTAAATTACATAAAAATGATAAACATTCGTCAAATGGATGTTTATATAAACTCAGGAATAAATCGACAATTCAATTTTTAACGCCAAGTGAAGTTAAACAAATTGCCAAACAGGATGTTGAATTAATGTACAATATAATGAAGAAGAAAATACTTTCATTGGGAAAATTAAATACAATTAATTTTAATAATACAGTGAATGGAATTGAGGATAGTGAAACATTTTTTAAGAAGAACAAAAAGAAGAATAATAATAATAATGATAAGAATTTTGTTCATCGTATTGAAGAGAATTCAACATTACCAACTTTAACTTGTGTGCATTGTAATAAAAAATTTTTAACATTAATTAGTCTGAAACATCACATGAGCACGCGTCATTTAACTGATGATGTTGATGATGATTTTGACAAAAATTGTAATAGAAATCCCCCTTTGGAATTATCAGTCTTAAAGCAAAATAAATTGTCACCAAATAATGATTTATCATCAAATAATGATTTATCACCAAATAATGATTTATCATCAAATTTAAAATTTCTCGATTTAGAAACAAAGACAAAAATACCAACAAATAATTTTTCTTGTGATGTATTGTGTTGCGCGTGCCTAAAAATAATTATCGATGTTCGACCATTTTTAGATTCACTTGTTAATAATATTTATCTACCTTGTTTATATTGTCAATCGGAATTATCAGTCGTTGTTTTTTTAAATCACATTGCAACAAAACATCTCCCTTGTAAATTAGACGAATGTCATTCGAAATTAATAGATAACGGTTATAAATTACGTCAAGTTTTAACAATGGAAAATGAATTCGAATGTATACATGTTGATTGTGATCATTATTATTTTATTGATTTAAATGAACCAAATATTAGTGTAACTGTTGATAATGTTGATTTAAATCAAATAATAAATAATGAGAATGAAAATTTAAAAATTGAAAATGAAGAACTTGAAAATAATTTAGAAAACAGTTTAGAAAACAGTTTAGAAAACAATTTAGAAAACAGTTTAGAAAATAGTTTAAAAAATGGTTTAGAAAATGGTTTAGAAAATGAAAATACAGAACATGAAATAAATTGTGAAATTATCACCGATTCTTTAGAAGAAAAAATTCATTTACGTTGTAGTGTTTGTGAGAAAAATTTTCAACACGAACAAAAATTATTGAGACATCTTTTTATAAAACATCGTTTCACTTATCCATTCACTTGTGACATTTGTTTCTTTTCATTCAAAAGTGAAAAAGAATTGGAAATTCATGTTCAAAAACACAAACCAGAAATTGATGGAAATTTTGAATTAACAACTGAAGAAATTTCCACTGAAACGGAAACAAAAATAACTTCAGTGCAAGAGGAAAAAATCAATGTATCAATAATTAAAGAAAAAGAAGAAGAAGAAAAACATCCCTCGAAAATGAAAATTTCTTGTATAGTCGAAAAAGTTGAATATCCTCTCGATATACATAATTTGTATGCACACATTCGTAAAGCAAATGATCCAACGGAAATTAATAGTTCTGAATTAAGACTCGAGACAAGTTTTAATAATTCAAATAATATGGAAAGTCCAAAGAAATGTAATTTATTGTCTGAGGAAAAAGTTAATAAAAATTTTGAATGTGAAATTTGTGGTAAAAAATTTAATTCACAAAGGCCATTTAGTGAACATTTATTTTTTACACACGATGTTGAATTTCAAGAATCAGTTGTACTCGATTTTTTGAAATCAAATGAAGATAAAAATTTAACGACAAATAATTCAGTATTCAATTATTCAACACAAAATTTACCATTAAATAATCAAAAAAATGTATCAAAAAAACGCAAAAGAAACATAACTGAAAACAATGATAATTTACGTATTCAAATTCCAAAAATAGAAGAAAATTTTGAAATGAAGAATAAAAAAAATATTAAAATATTAGATTCTCAAACAACGAATTCAGTTAGAAAGAGAAATACAAATTCAACAAAAATAGATGATAAAATAAGAAAATTTAAATTGGAAGATTTAAAAAAATTAAAAAAAGAATTAGTAATGAAAACTAATATTTTGACAAGTGAAAATATAAAAATAAAAGATGAACATCCGTGTTGTGATTGTAATAAAATATTTCTAACAAAATCAATATTGGAAAAGCACAAACGTTTAATGCATCAAGATAAAAAAATTGCGGGTTTTTTAATTAAAAATCCAATTTTGAAAGCGAAATCAATAAATTGTCCAATTTGTAATTTAATTTTTCCATCGCAACAAAATTTAAAAGCACATTTAATGGTATATCATGAACGTGTAACTGACAGTTGTCAATTGTGTGATAAATTATTTTCCTTTGGACGTGGTGTACGACATATTCTTGATTTTCACATTATTCCATATTGTGAAAATGTAAATAAAAAGAATTTTGAACTTTTTAAAAAGGGCAATTCAATAGATGATGTTAACGAAACAATACGTGTATTGGGTGAAAAAAGATTAAAAGCACTTTGTTCTTACAGTACATTTATAAATGAGGATACATATAAATGTCAAAATTGTCAACATTCAACAACTGCAATTTATTATTATCGTAATCATTATCTTCAAACACATGAAAAATTTTGTATTCTTTGTAATTTATCATTTCAAACAAATATTGATTTTTTGCAACATTTAAAATTAATACATCATTCGTCGAAACATTATTTATGGTTTATCGATACATTAATATCGACAATTTTAATGATTGGAAAAAATAAGGATAATTCATTTGAATCATTTCAAGATATTATTATGAGAAAATTTAATGAAGAAAAATTTCAATCAATTAATGATTATAATCAAATGAATGCGCACAATTTACCATTAGTTACAGATGAGAAAGAAGTAACCAAATTAGATGAATCTTATAATAATGTTTTATTACCTGATTTTTGTATGGAATGTGAAATAAGTGAGAATGGAACACTTGTTATGCAAAATGACAATGGTATTAAAAATCCAATAATTTTGTCAAATTTCAGTGATATAAATGAACAAAACAAATGTGAAACAATTGTTAATAATTCAAATTCTTTGGATATTTCAAATTGTATATTAGATTATCCAATTATTATTAGCGATGATTTTATAAATAATTTACAAAATGATAAAATTTTGACTGATGCTAATGCTAATAATGATAATAATCATATCTTTGCTGATGTTCAATTAAATGGAGAGGAACAATAATTTTTAGATATTTATCAGAGTGTATCGCATGATTTTGCGGCAAATTATTTGAATTAAAATATTAACGAATCAGGTATGTTTAATAATAAATTGCTATATATAAAAAAAAAATCACAAATTTTCTTACAAATTTACATTTTTAATTTTATAAAATTAATTGCTTCTAAAAGAAAACTTATTGTCAATTTTAAGAAATATCAAAAAAAAATTTTATATATGTTTCATCGAACTGAAAATAAAAGAAAAAACATTTTTTAAAATAAAATATTTATCATCAAAAATTTTTATACCATCTTCTTTGCATTAAAAAAGAATTTTTAAAACTTTGAAAAAAAAATCGCGCGATACATTCTGTAAATATCTATAGATTTCAAAAAAAAAAACAAAAAAAACAGGAAACGATAAAACGATTCTGTTATTTTAATGGATAAAAAAAAGGTTCAAAGTACCTTAACTTTGTTTTTGAATTATTTACTTATACATGACTTTATATTATAAATATTATTACTGTACATTTTATACTATAAATTTTATATTTATCATTTATTCTTAAAAATTGTAGAAAGGGACCAAAGAAGCAAAAAATTAGAGGTTATGTTTATGATTGTTTAGAAGTAAAAATACATCTCTCAATATATAAAAACGATATATTTAAGTCTTCATTACCTCATTACCCCTCAAATATTCAATAAAAATATTTTGATTTTACATTATTAAAAAGAAACATTATTCCAGGTAAAAACTATCATAAACATAACCTTCATTTTTTTTTGCTTCTTCTCTTTCTTCAGAGAGCGTCACATATTATATTTAACACGTTTTTTAAAATGTTATTCAAGATTTAAAAAAGAAATAAACAAAAAATACTGTTAAAGAAAATTATTGTCATTATGACTCTTTTTGTTAAAATTAGTTAAAATTAAGAAAAAAGAAACATTTATTATTTTAAATAAATTATATTTTCTATTAATTTAATATAAGTTGATCTCGAAGAAATTAAAATTTTCAAATATACATATATTTTATTAAGCAAAATTAACAATAATTAATTTTATATTAATACTTCTAATTCTCCGATATATTGAATGAATGAAAAAATTTTTTGTCACGAATGTTATACAAAGTAAATTATTATTTAAAACACGCATTTTAGAATAAAAATAGAAAGCAGATTTTTTTTTTACTTATTTCATTATTATTTAGGAAGCATAACCAAAAAGTAATGAAATAAAATTCTTCAAGTGCCGTATTTAAATTTAATTTTCTTGTCAATTTTTCCAGTAAATTAAATTTTGAAAATAAATTTTTCAAAATTTTGAAAATATATTTTCAAAACTTAATACAGAGTATTTCTAATCATTAATATATTGTGATATAATATATATATATCTATAGTTGTAAACTATTTGTTCATTTTAAATTTCAAAAGAATTAATATAAAAGCATTTTTTTTTCTATAAAATAATCAACGCATTCCATTTAATTTAAGAAAAGACTTATATTTTATAAAAAAAAAATTTTCTTTTAATAAAAATTAATAGAAATTTATATATAAATATATTTATGCTTCTGAAAGCAATGCAATGTAATGTGTGTCAAAATAATAAGATTGTTTCATGGTACAAACATTTTTGAAAAAAAAATTTCTAAATTTTTTCTGTATATATAAATATAAGTAGTGTAATTAGTTTTTAATAATAAGCGATAACTTTATAATAATGTACATCTTTATTATATATTTAGAAATTAAAATATAATTTTTTGTAATGTGCGTTATTTTTTTATTCTTGAAAATCCATTTAATGTATATTTTTATGTTTGGAACAAAATTTTACTAAAAATCAATTGTAAGTATTTTAAAAGAAAGAAACAGTATTTTAAAAATACAAAAATATCGCATATTTTAACAAAATTTACGTTACTTTTAGTTTTTTTTTTTTTAAAGACATAGCTTTCCTTCAACAATGCAAATTAAATTATCATTGGTTTTTATAAAATTGAAAACAATAATTAAATAAAATATTTTTTAAAATAAAAAAATTATTTTTTTACCCCATTAAAATTTTTTTTTCTATTTTAATAATTAATCTTTTTTTTTCTATTTGCGATTGTTAATTTATTTCTATATCGGTTAGAAATTTTGACAAATTTAATTTAAACAAATTTAAAATTCAAAGGAAAATAAATTTACAAGACGCATTAATATGCTCTAAAATTAATTCTGTAATTTTAGAAATAATTAAATTTTAGAAGGTGTTAAATTAAAATATTTGAAAATAATTGAATTCTCCAAGTGATTTTGAATTTAAATTTTTGATAATTTCCGTTGCTGATTTTTTTTTAAATTTCGAATAATTATTGAATTTCATAAATTCTTTAATTCGACAACTAGTTTAAGATAATTGAATTTGTGAAGAATTTTATTAAAATTATTTAAAATAATTAATTTAGTGATGAATTTCAGTTAAAAATTTATTAAATAATTTAAATAAAGAAGATCTTTTAAAAAAAGACACATTTTATTAAATATTTTGTAAAAAAAAAAGTCGAAAATGTCGCATTTTAATAAAATAAATCAAAAAAAGTCGGTAAAAGTCATATAATCCGAGTCTTGCAAATTAATTTTAAAGTTTATTTATGTATTTTACATTTACACAGTCAGTTAAATGAGATAAGAAAAAAATTTTAAAAATTAAAAAAAAAACCGCAGTAATTAATTCTTTTTGAAAATTGGAAAAAAAACAACAGGATAAGAGAAAAAAGATTGATATATCGAATGATTGCAAAACTTTATTGGTTTATTATAATGGCATAATAATGTTTCTACGTTGTCAAAAGTCAAGGCAAGAGGAAGATGATTAAATATAATAATATAGATCATATAAATTAATATACAATGTTCAATAAATGTTGAAATAATGTACATTTATGATTTTTATAAAGTAAGCCAATAATTTGTATTTTACAATTAATAAATTAATTCATTTTTTTATTTATTTATTTTATTTTTTTTTAGTTACGTTATTTGTGTCAATTTTGTTTATACACAATTGAATATTGCAAACGTTATGTATAACAATAAACAAGAAATATTTTTAAATTATGAAAAAAAATATTAATAAAATAAAATTGCGAAAAAATTGTAGAATTAAGATAGAAGACAAATGGAAAAAAATTTATTTCTTTAAACATTAAAAAAAAATGTTTAAAAAATTTAATCGAAAAAGAAAATATAAAAAGTAGCTTAAAATGTCTAACTTTATGATTATTGTAAGACATTCTCAAAAAATTTTAAAATTATTTATAAGAATTTTTAGATTATTTTTATAAAAATGTCAATTTTTATTTTTTTGGTAAATTTTGAACGATTTAATATTTTTTACAATTTCAAAGTTCGTCTTCTCGCTTAATTTTGCATTTTTTCGAAGCTCAATGAATTTTTTAGAAAAAATATTTAACAAACAGAAAAACGGGTATTTTTTTACATTGCCGTATACTTATTGTAAATGCATAATTATATATATATATATTTTTTTTTTCGTCCAAAAATTTAACATTAGTATAAATTTAAAAAGACGAAGTTTTGTGCTCCAAGCCTACAGTAAGATGGTAATATTTTTTTTTTTGTTAAAAATTTTTAGATTGTTGATAAATTTAATTTTAAAAAACAATTTCTAAATTTCAATCTCCATTTTTATAATTCTAATAAATTTAAAAAATGTTTTATTTTTAAACATTAAATTCAAATTCTTATTTTAATTACGTAGTAAACTGTATCGTATGATATTTTTGAAATTTATTATAGCAATCCCGATAAAAAAAAATTTTTTCATTTCTACGCAAAAAATTATTTTATTTAAATAAAAATTCCTAATTCAATCAGTTTTTTTTAGTTTTAAAAATTTTAACAATATCAATCAGTTTCTAAATTCAAAGTAAAATTTCGATTCTTTCAAATGATTCTTTTTCATCTGCGTGAATTTTTTTGTTTTAAAATAAATTTTTGAATTTTTCAGAATAATTCTCTGCAAAACTGATTGAATTCGAATCTTTTGCCAAACAATAAAATAAATTTAAAAAAAAAACATTGATCTCAGTTTTGACATGAAAAACCGATAGCAAAGATCGATTCTAGATTATTATTTTCTAATATATTTTTACGAATTTTATAAATATTTTTTTATTTATAGCATCTTGTTTATATAAAATATTCAAATCAAAATGCTTGATATCACTTTTTGTGTTTAGAAATTACTGATAAAACATTTGTCTTGTTAAATTTTATTTAAAAAAAAAAAAAATTGAAATTTTAAAATATTGAAAATATAATATAATTGATCCAAATTAATTTTTTTAATTCAACAGATGGAAAATATAGTGTTAAATAATATAATATAAAATATAATTAAATTGTAATTCGCAAATAACAAATTTTACTATAAATAATTTTTAAATTAATTAAAAATTCATAATAAATAAATTTAAGTGTTTTATTCAATCGCATTTATTTTAAACATAAAAATTAATATTCAAAAAGCTTACTTTTTTTCTGCAATGAAAATTTAAATGTACCTAATATATTTATTTAATACTATATTGAAATATTAAATATTGGTAATATTTTAACGTTTACAATGGTGAATTTTTTTTTACATTTTATATGGAAAATTCTGATATTTTTATATTAAAAAAAAAAAATTGAAAAATTATAAATATTAAATAATTTTTCACATTTATAAAGCAAAAAAAAAAAATTCTTTCAATTTTCTTTCTTTTTCATTAGCCATTAATTTTTGCAAAAAATTTTCATTTCACTAATATATATTTTTTATTGTACAACTTAAATACATAAAAAAATATTTTTCTAGGTCAAAAAAAAGCAATTAACCTATAAAAAGAAAAATGTAACTGAGTAACCAATTTTATAGATTCAATTGGTTTTTTTACATTATTCAATTTCTGAAATATTGTATCTACATTTTTGTTATAATAAAATTATGCATAATTAAATAACAAACTCAAAATACTGTTTCTATAAACAGTTTCAACATGTGCATATATACTAATTTTTGACGTATGCACAAAAAAAAAAAAACGCAATTATTGTACGCATTATTGTAGAAAATTGTAATTTTCAAATAATATTTATATTTGAGTTTACAGTTACTTTATTTTCATGTTAAAGCATTAAAAAAAAATTATTTTTATAATGCATCCAATTACTGCAGAAAAAAAATTGTTTATATCGTTTATACTTATGCGGAGATATTTTATAATTATTTCTAAAAAATATCTTTATATTCATATAAATCTGACGACAGAAGAAAAAAAAGTAATAAAATAACGTACAAGCGATTTGACTGTTATATTTTAAGTCGTACTCACTTTTAAGAATTATTATTTTTTTAAATATGCTGCGAGTATTGTGTAAATAAATATTAATTAATGCGCGGAAAGTATTTATTTTTGCCAATTCAGTGAAATATTCTCTTGATTAATCAGAATAATGTAATTGATTTTTGTTTTTATTTACATCTCTTTTTTTTAATTATCACATATCAAAGATAAAAGTAACTAAATATTAAATTAAAAATTGATATATAATATAATATATATATATATATATTAAAATTATTTAATAAGGAGATAGAACATTCTTTTAATTTTGTTTTTAAATAAATAATTGTAATATTAAAATTTTTTTTAAATCTGTAAAAAACATTTATTATTATTTAATAAATTATTTTTTTTTTAATCACAATTATTTTCTTATCTCGTATATTCGAGATTTTTCAAACTTTTTTTTTGGGAAAAATATGAAATTTTTATCCACTGAATTGGCGCTTAAATTTGCAAAAAAAAAAAAACACTTTCAATTACTATACAGTCAAAATATACTCTTAAAAACGTAATTATCTAAAGTAATTTAATTATTACAAAAGTATATTTCTTTTTTTTTGTTATTGTAAAAATTTAGGCAGCGGTTTCTTCAACAATGGGCTTCTCTAAAGCATTGTCATCAGTCTCACCATTTTTTTTTACATTATCTGCACTAGAAGGAACGATTTTATCAACAACTGGTGCATTATTGAGTTTAACAGGTGCTTCACTTATTAAATCATTATCTTCAACAATAATATTTGTTGTTGAATTTTTTTCGATAATTTCTACCGAATTTCTATCTACTTCTTCAATATTCTCTATTTCTTTTGTTTCAATATTAACATTATTTTCCAATGTTTCATTATTTTCTTCATTCTTATCCTGATTGTGTAATTTTTCCGCTGTTAATAATTTATCATCGATTTCAATTATTTTTTTCTCGATTGACGCGGGTGATACAATTTCCTGTTGTTGTTGTTGTTCCTGTTCCACAATTACATCTTCTTCAAATTGTCGTAATTCCTTTTGCTCTTGTGGAATCTGTGAAATTTCCTGTTCCACCACTGGCTCTATTTTTGTCATCTTTTCCTGCGATTGATATTGAATTGATTGTTGTTGTTGTTCATGCTGTGTCAATATTTTTTGTTGTTCTTGTTCATGCTGTGCCAATATTTTTTGTTGTTCTTGTTCAAGTTGAATTTGCTGAAATTCTAATTGTTGTAAGCGTTCTTGTTGCTGTTGTTGTTGAAGTTCTTGTTCACTCTGTTCAACAGCTTGTTGATGTTTAATTTGTTGAAATTCCAATTGCTGTAAGTGTTCCTGTTGCTGCTGTTGTAATAGTTGTTGCTGTTGTTGTATTTCATGATGCTTCTGCAAAACTTGTTGATGTACCTCTTGTTGCTGATGTTGTTGAGGAGTAATTTTAGTTCGATTTCGAGCTGATTGATATTGCTGTTGATTATCGGGAGGTGGAAGAATTGGAATCGCTGCCGTTGGACGTCTCACTGGCTGTTGTTGTTGCTGTTGTTGCGCTGGACTGTAATAAGTACAACCTTGTGGCTGGAACAATTCTTGCGGCGGTGGAGGACCCTGAGCCTTAATTTAAAGAAAACAACAAACAAAATTAGTTAATTCATACAATTTTTCTTTTTTTCATTATAGGAAAAATAGAAAAAAAATTAAATTATTGAAACTTTTTCTTTGAACTTTTTGAAAAAATTAAAAACTATCAAAAATAAGAAAAATTATGAGTGAAAAATCGAGAATTCAAATTATGTACAAAATTACAAAATCCAGGCCTCGTGCAAAAAAAGTCGTTCTAGACGAATTACATTTCAAAAAAGTAGAATTTTTTAATTTTAATTAAATTAAATTACTTAATAATTATTTTACTTTAAATAATTAATGTTATTAGATAATAAATCTATTTTATTAATTCCTGAATAAGAATAATTCTATAAAAATATTATTAAGAAAATTTATTTCAAATATTTCAGAATCGAAGACGTAAATTTTAAAAATTTTAATTAAATTAAATTTCTAAAAAAAAAATTCTGACAACAATTCAATTTTAGAGATATTATTAGTAATATTTTTAAATAATTGAATTTAAAAAAAATATATTAAAATTATTAAAAATAATTGAATTTTAAAGAGTTTTAGTTGAAATTTTTAGAAATAATTAAATTTTAAAAGATTTTGTTAAATTTCAGACAATAATTAAATTTCACAAAATTGAAAATAATTTATCAAATAATTTTAGATAACATTTTTTAAAAGTATATAAATGAATTTTCGAAGATTAACAATTCAAATTTTTGAAATTAATCGAATCAAGTGATTTTTAATTAAAATTTTTTACTTGAAAAATGCTTTGAAATAATTGAATTTTTGAAGAATATTATAAAAATCATTTAAAATCATTAAATTTTGAAAGAGTTACAGCTAACATTTTTAGAAATAATTAAATTTTAGAAGGTTTTATATTGAAATTTTTTTTTTAATAATTAAATTCAAGTGATTTTGAATTGGAATTTTTTTGGTGATTTCTTTTGCTGAAGAATATTAGAAATCGCAGACAAAAATAGAATTTGAAAATTTTTTAAGTGAAAAATGCTTTTAAATCAATGAATTTTTGAAGAATATAATAAAAATCATTCAATTTTGGAAGAGTTACAATTGGCATTTTTAGAAATAATTAAATTTTTAGAAGGTATCAATTGAAATTTTTCAAAATAATTGAATTTTGGAAGAGTTAAAGTTGAAATTTTTAGAAATCATTGAATTTTCGAAAAATATAAAAATCATTAAAAAAAAATCATTATATTTTGAAACAGTTATAATTAAAATTATTAAATTTCCGAATGGGTATACAATGAAATAAATTATTATCATTATTATTAAATTTCCGAAAGTTTTATATGGAAAATTTGAGAAATAATTAAATTTTAGAAATTGTTAAAATGAAATATTTGAAAATAATTGAATTGAAATTTTTGATAATTTCCGTTGCTGATTTTTTTTAAATTTCGATTAATTATTGAATTTAATTTTTTAAATTCGACAAATAGTTTAAGATAATTGAATTGGTGAAGAATTTCATTAAAGTTATTAAAAAAATTTAATTTAGTCATGAATTTTAGTTAAAAATTTATTAAATAATTTAAATAAAGAATTATTGTATTATTAAAAAAATATGCATTTTATTAAATATTTTGTAAAAAAAAGTATTTTAAAAAAGTCGTAAAAGTTGTGTCTTGTTAAAATAAATCGAAAAATGTCGTATTTTCGAAAAAAAAAAGTGAGAAAAAATATAATTCGAGGCCTGAAAGGCCGATTACATTTAAGTAATCCTGTTTGAAAAGAATTTCAGAATTAAAATATAAATATCATACCTGAACAGGAGCAGGATTATAACCTTGATATCCTTGATAATTAGGTTGAAATGGAGGTCCATTGGGAGCTGGAACATAGTTGAGTATGCTTGGTGGAGCAGTTTGTGGTGGTGGCATAAATTGCGGTGGAGGAACTAAAAATGGTGGCGGAGGCGCATAACTTGGTGGTTGTGGAGCTGGTGGCAAGGGGATGACAGGTTGTCCAGCCATTGGTGCATTAGGTGGTGCGACTGATGTCGGTTGCTCAAAATGCCCTTGAGGATAACCTAAACACAGAAAAAAAAACTCATTTTCATTATAAAAAATAAATATTTACTCAAATTATATCTATCAAAAAAAATTATACACAATAAAAGCAATAAAGAAAAGAAAAAATTTAATTCCGACAATCGTGACTAGATCAAAATTAATTTTCACCTGTAGACAATTTCTTCTTTAATTTCAAATCAACAACCAATATTGAAAATAGATGCATTTTTTAATTGTATATTTGACTCGGTTTCATTCCTAGACAAAATTAAACTACGTATACATAAACAATTTTCTAAATTCTACTTTAAAATACATGCAATCAAAGTACAATTAAATATATATAAATTTCTAAAAAAAATAAATTAAATCGTCCAAAATGTTTTCATTTATTTTTTTGGAAATTGAGTTTCTGATTTTATCAACCCGAATTCTTGAGTAAGAATTCATTTTGTAAAAATCAAATTTTTGTATATTGAGAAAAAAAACATTTAACATAGAAAAAATTCTATTACTACTGACAAAGAATTGACAAAAAATATAATAACAATAAATTTGTATCTGTAAAATAATAACACACAAAGACAAAACAAAAACGAACACACACATTAATAACACGATTATAGATCTTACCTTGTGATTCTAAAACAGCTCTTGAACTTCCAGCTACATATAAGTACAAATAATTTATTTTTTAATAATTAACTAATGAAATTTTTTAATCAAAAATTGTAATATTTTATATGGTGTTACATAACTTTTTTGTAGGATTTTTCAGTAATTTAAGTTTTTTTATCATGAAAAAAAAAACCGTTTTTGTTCTCTTATTAGTCAAAATTTGCCTTCTTTTCAAAATTAAAATTGGGAAGAAAATTTGTAAAAAAAAATTCAAATTCTCACTTTCTCCATTAAATTCCAACTATTTTTAAGTGACTTTTAATTGTTTCTTTAGGCGAAAAAAAGAAAATAAAAAAAAACATTACCTTGAGATGGATAAAATGTATGTTGTCCATGTGGTGATGGAAAATTTTGTTGTCCCGGTCCTTCTGCAATAGTTGGTCGTTGTCGAAGACTTGAATAACGTTTTGGACGATTTGCCGAAGCATCCTGCAATGATGATTTCGATTGTTGAACCTGTTGTTGTTGTTGTTGTTGTTGTAGCTGCTGTTGTTGCTGGGTATGTTGTAAACGCGGTGGAACTGTATTTGCCCTTTGTTGATTCGTCGATTGAACATTAAAATGTTCTATAAAAAAAAATATTACTATTATATTAAGTTTATTGACAAAAAAAAATATTATTTTAAAAAAATAATTATTAATATAAAATTTGTCTATAAATAAATGAGAAAAAATGTAACTAAAATATTAACTTTTTTCAGGTAAAAATGAATAAATATAAAAATAAAAAATTAGACGTACTATTTTGTCTTCCACTAGAATGATAAGATGTTGATTCAACAATGTTCATGCGTTTAACATCATTGGCCAATTGATGTTCCTCGTCGATTTGAATAGTATTAGAACGTCTATTGTCGGGATTAATTGTACCTGGACCTCTTCCTTTTGGTTTTGATTCGATTATACGATTACTGACTATATTGTTATTAGTATTTGCCTTAAAGCCACGTCCACGTGCTCTACTAGCGACAAGACTTACAGATTCTTGGACATTTCGTTTATTATTATCACGTGGCATTGCTTTTACATTAAATGATTTATCAGCATCATCACCACCATTATTTCCATTCGAACTTTGTATATATGATGCACTTTTCACATCTTTTTTCCATGCCTGATTTGTTGTTTCAGAAGTTTTGTTTTCTCTTCTAAAACAAAAAAATAACACATACATTTTTAATCACCAAAAAAAGTTATTTTAATTTTAAAAAATTATTATAATAATATATTTTATTTTTATTAAAATGAAAATTTGACTTACGATTGACTAATTGGTGGACTGGCTTGTTTAGATTTAAGATTATCCGGTTGCGGTTGCAGAGGAGGAAAATTAGCTTGAGCTTGTGGTTTTGCTTTGTTACTATACCAAGCGGATGATATTACTGGTTCTTCCATCTTTACTGGACTCTACAATAAATAATTTTTTTGTTCGTAAAAATAAATAAAAAATACCTAAGAGAAATTAATTTATTCTAACAAAAAATAACTACTTACTTTATTACCAGGACCAAGAGATGGAAATTCTTCTCCAGTTTTATTCAATTTTCGTCCGACATTCTTGTTAGATGCATTTCCGGCAATTTTCCCATAAGCATCTTCGTCTTCCCAATTTCTTGTATATTTATTTGGTCCACGACTGTTGAAAATCAAAAAAAATAATATAATCAGAATTGACACAAAAATAAATCGACTTTTTTGAGAAACAAAAGTTTTTAATTGAAAATTTCAAAAATGATAATTTTAATTGCATTTTTAAATATTTTTCCAGTACTTTTCCCTAATTTCCCGTGGCAATTTTGATAATCAATAAATATCGAAAAAAAATATTTTTCATCCTATTCTAGAGAATTATTTAATTTTTGAAATTTCAATGAAAATTATTTTTTACCCATAACGTCTTCTTCTACGCGCTCTCGGTGGACCTTCTTCATTTCGAATATCATAACCATAGACAGCAATCAATTCCTCATGACTTTTTGGTGCTTGCTCAGCATCATTGTATCTATCGTGATTCCATTTATCATCCTTATCTTTCCATACTTTCTTTTCTTTCGAATCACGTTCCACTTGTGGTTCAACATTATTTTCTGTTGCCTCCTCGGCAGTTCTATCGTCATGTTCATAAAATGTACCACGTTTTGGAATGTATTGAGGATTTCGTCGATCTTCATCATCGTCTAATTTTTTTTGCGATTTTTCCTCCTCTTGTCCATCGCCACTTTCTCTTAATACACCTTTCTGTGATTCTGTTTCAGATTCACTTCCCGCAGTGTCGTACTCTGAATCATGACAATCCTCAATTGGTCCACTGCTCTATAAAATTATAAGTATAATTTAAAAAAAAAAAACCAATACTTTTGAAAAATATTATCAAACAGTAATAATTGTCTACTACATAAATTTTATAAGAATTTTTGTAAAATAAAAAAGACAATGAAAGAATAAAATATGAGAATTTTGGAGAAATTAAAGAAAATAGAAAGTACATAAAATTGAAAAAAAAAATTGAGGGGAAAATTTATAAAAATATAGTTAAATATGAAATGCGACTGAACAAAAAATGTAATCAAAAGAACTGTAAATAATAAATATAAAGCTTCCACTTGAGAAAGCAAAAAATAATTTGCATTTTAAAATAATAATAATTTAATTTCTATAACGAGGAAAAACGAAACTGTCGAAACGTTAAAGATGCGTGTTTATTATTATTTTTTTTTTAATGAATGATACAAACAGATTGATAACTTCGTTTACACCATTTATTAATTTACGTCTAGTAGAAATAAGAAAATTTATCAACAAAGCCTATATCACTCAACGGAAGTTTTTTTTACACAGTGATAACTAGAGATAGCAAATTTTTTTTCTTTTTGAATCTAGTGATTAAACACCTTTTTTTTGAAGAATTTTCATTATAAAATTATTCTCTGTAATTTTTATTATTTACTATTATTATTTTTATTATTTATAAATTATTCCTTTAAATTTAAAATAAAATATTAAAAAAAAATTTTATTTTTTTCCCAAAATTTATAAAATTAATTAATATAAAAAATCAGTTATTAGAAAATTCAATTATATAAAAATTCAAATTAATTTTTTACAGACAAATCAATGTTATTTAATTTAATTTATTCAAAAATGCCAAAAGAAAATTCAATAATTTCACAATTTAATTATTTTGAAATTAGATTTTTATTTTTTAAATTCAATTATTTAACAAAATCGAATATATTGAAACTACAAGTAAATTAAATTCTTTTAAATTTAATTATTATAAAATTAAATTAACGTTTAAGTTATTTTTAAATTTAATATTATTTTGTAAATTTTGACGTTAAGTCAAATTTTTACTTTTAAAATTTAAACTTTTATTCTCTTCTTTTTTATGATTTTCTTCAGATTAGAAAGATATATTTATTTGTAAAAAAAAATACTTTTGGAAAATATTTTGAAAACCAATTTCAAACTAATTTTGCGGTTTTCGCGATAGTAACTAAAATATTAAAATTTTTCTTTTTAAAATCATAAAAATAATTAATTATTAAAGGAATTGAATTAACGAAAAAAATTGAATTTTATTTAAAAGAGTGATAGAAATTTTCGAAATATAATTTCATTTATTATTCATTGAAAATAAAATTGGAATTATGTTTTATCACTATTAACAAAAAAAAAAATTCAATTTTTTAAAACCTAACAGAATTGAAATTTTACATATTTATAAAATTTATAATTTAGTTTAATTATTTTTAAATTAAATTTATCTTAAATTTTAAACATTCAATTTTGAAACAAATCATTTTAAATCATTTTATCGAGAAAAGAAACAAATGTCATCTCATTTATTTCGAAAAACGAAATCGTAATGTTTAATATTTACTAATAAGTCTTTACTATTTCTGAAATATTTCAAGATTATTGTTTACAAATTTTGCCATTTTTTTTATCATCTGATTCAGCGACCTTAATATGAAAACAAGTTTAATTACAAGAGTTTATTAAATTATTCTAACCTCACTAAATTAATTATTTATGTAAAAAAATAAAACCATTTAAAATAAATCAAATTTAATATATGTAAATTTTATCTATATAGGACATAAATTATAAAGAATTTGAGTACAAGCGAGCCATCTTCATTATCATTCACAATGAGTATTCAAATTCTTTTCTTTTTTTTTTTTTTTTTTTTTTTTTTTTGCTATAAATTTACAAATGTAAAACTTACTTGAGTTTCTTTTGTTGTATTTAGTTCATCATAGGAATCCGAAAGATCATCTGAATCCCCAGAATTGTGAACTTTTCTACGACGACGAGAATCAGACATATTATTTTTTTTTTTTAATGAATTTTTAACAAATCAAAAAGCACTTCCGTTTTTGTTCTATATCACGTCAAAAGAGAAGGTAATTGAAATAAATTATCATGCGGTGACGGTAAATTTTATAGTAAGTATATAGTACATACTTTCGTGTAAAGTAGTTAAAATTATTTAAAGTACTACCAGTGTTTGACCTCTCGACACAAGAAACAAGAATGGAGCATATAATTTATGTAGAGTAAACATATGGAAACTAGAATCGGACGAAAAACGTGAACACAGTTCTTCGTCATCACAAATAGTGCATGCACTCTGTAAGAGATGGCGCTATTAAAATTTTCGCTAAAATAAGGTTGAAATCACATGAATGCGTTACATTTTGTAACTAGACTGTGAGTGAGAAAAGGACAATGGTATATCTTTATCTCTTTTACACTCATGGTCTAATTACAAAAGTTGATACTTTAAGCTGTATTTTCAAGTGTTTTGCGTCTTACGCTATCTTTCTATTGGGCCAACGCAGAATGAAATCTCTAATCTAATTCTACTGAGGCGTATTGTAGACACGACTTTAAACTGTATCTACATTGCAAAGAGATAACGCAAGGCGCAGACGCAAAACTACCGCACCCTGCTCTAGTGAAAATATAGTGACTTAGAGAAGGATATAGGCTGCAGTCCCATGGCAGCGTTTTGCGTTGCGTTTTGTCACTAGACCATGAGTGTAAAAGAGATGCAGATATATGTTTGCTATGTTTACACTCAGGGTCTAGTGACAAAACGCAACGCAAAATGCTGCCATAGGACTGCAGCCATAGTCATATATTGTTGGTCTTCTCTAAGGCTGCAGTCCCATGACAGCGTTTTACGTTGCGTTTTTTCACTAGGCCATGAGTGTAAACATAGCAAACATATATCTGCATCTCTTTTACACTCATGGTCTAGTGACAAAACGCAACGCAAAACGCTGCCATGGGACTGCAGCCTAACTAATTCTTCCATTTGCGATTTCGATTACGATTCCGGTTACGTTCCATTGTGCATAGGCCTTTAGGCCCTCTACAGGTCCATTCCACAATAGCTAAACGCAAAGTTAAAACGCACGCAAAGATGACGCGCGCGTTGATTTGGTTGGTTAGAACCAACGCGCGCGTCATCTTTGCGTGCGTTTTAACTTTGCGTTTAGCTATTGTGGAATGGACCACAGAATGGAGCCAAACGGATCGCAGACGCGACGCAGCGCAATGCGCAATGCTAAGCAAATGGGGATGCGTCGCGTCTGCGTTTGGCTCCATTCTGGAATCGGCCTTAGTTTGGCTGGTTCCACAATGGGCTCGACGCAAGGTAAACGCCCTATGAAAAGGCACCTAAAGGCGGTTCCAGAATAGGTGCAAAAGTCAAGTACAAGTGCAAGTCCAACTGCAAATCCCATGAGTGCAAGAGAGATAGATAGACTGCCTATCTCTTTCGCACTCATGGGATTTGCACTTGGACTTGCACTTGTACTTGGCTTTTGCATCTATTCTGGAACCGCCTTTAATTCCTCGCCCAAAGTGTCACATTTCAGATGTTCTACATTTTGTATACTGGGTGACCAATAAATTTCGTGTCGAATTTCATAAACATATTGTGCTTAGGCTATTAGTGACTCTTATATATTATATATAGTTTTGTCCTTCTTTAATTCTATAAAACAGACAAAAAAAAGATACAAAACACAAATATGTGTAAAAGTGCGAAAAAGGTTGTGTGCATTCAACGAAATGAATCTATTATATTTGGAATTTATCTTCTATTTAAAATCGCTTATTTGTTGTGTACATAAAAAGACAATATTTATATAGAATTTGTCTATACTTTGATTTAAAAAATAAATAAATAAATAATAATAATAATGCAGAAACATAACACCAGCTGAGTGTTTGATGGCTAATTGAAATGTTATAAATATGGTGCAAACGCAAAGTTTTATAAGTGTAAGAAAAAATTTATTAATTTTAATTAAATATATTTATATTTGTCACTTTCATTACAGCTTAATTATTTTAATTACTAAAATAAGAAATATGATAACTAATATCTATATACATAATAATGCGTTGTTATTTGTGTAATATGTTTGTTATTATTTTCCTAACCTTGAACATTATTTGCTAAAATATAGATATTGACATATTGTTGTTAGAAATAAAAAAAAAAGAAAAATTTGTTAGGAAATTGAAAAAAAATGATTTTAATGATTTTTTACAGCTGTAATGTTAGTAATAATTTAATTTATAATTTTAAGAATATTATTAAAGTATCTATATAGAAAAAATATTAAAAAATTTATGAACAATTAAATTTGAATTTGAGAAGTAATGAGTTAAAAAAAAGATTTTTGGAACTTGATACAATTGAAATTTGAGACACTTTAATTGAGAATTGGGACTTGATACGCTTGAGACTATTGAGATTTAATACTGTTGAAAGTTGAGACTATTACAGGCTTCGCATTCCTTAGTTAATAAATAAAAAGCAGCGAAAATAAAATAAAAATAAATAATAAAATCCAATAAATGTTTTTAATAGTAAATATAAAAAGATTAAAATAAATTAAAATAATTAAAATCATATTATTTTCATTTGTATTTTTAATGTTATTTAAGTAAAAAAAAAGCTTCCCTAACTTATATAAAGCATTTTCCCGATTTTACTAAAATTTTTATTAATAACAAAAATAATTAACATTCCCCTAGTTATATAAAATAAAATAAAAGTTAGTTTTTAAAAAGTTTAAGAAATAAACAATTAATTGATAAATAAATTTTATGACTTCTTAAAATAAAAGGAGAATTTTGAGGGAAAAATATTTAAATTTTTTTTATTTTTTAATAAATTTTTAATAAATTTTCAGAAAAATTGAAAAAGAATTAATAACATCAACTCTCGGATCGATAATAAGTCAAAAAAAATATCGTTTTAGTCAATTTACATTTCAAAAAAGTAGATTTTTTTATTTTTATTAAATTTAATTAGTCAATAAGTATTTTACTTTAAATAAATAATGTTATTATTTATTAAATCAAAATTTATTAATTCCTTAATAAAAATAATTCTATACGAATATTATCAAAAAAATTTATTTTGAATATTTTAGAATCGAAAACATCAATTTTGGAGTTTTTATTTGAGACTTTTTTTTAAATAATTGAATTTTTAATGAAATATTAACATTATTAAAAATAATTGAACTTTCAAAGAGTTATAGTTGAAATTTTTAGATATAATTAAATTTCAGAAGATTTTGTTAAATTTCAGACGATAATGAAATTTTATAGAATTGAAAATAATTAATTAAATCATTTTAGATAACATTTTTTAAAAGTAAATGAATTTCTGAAAATTAACAATTCAGATTTTTGAAATTAATTGAAATTTTGTGTAATTTCTATTGACGCAGAATTTATTAAAAATTGAAGACAAAATTGAAATTTAAAATTTTTTAATTGAAAAACGCTTTTCGATAATTGATTTTTCGAAGAATATTAAAAAAAAATCATTAAAAAAATAATTGAATTTCAGAAGAGTTATAATTTGAAATTATTAAATTTTAATAAGCTTTAGATAGAAAATTTAAAAAATAAATAAATTTAAAACGATTTTAAATTGAAATTGTTTGTAATTTTATTTGATTTTTTTAAAATTGTAAACAATTGTTAAATTTCGTAAAAAAATTTAATTGAGAAATTATTTATGATTATTGAATTTGTGAACAATTTCATCAAAATTATTAAAAATAATTAATTTAGAGAAAAATTTGTTAAAAAATTGTAATAAAAGAGATTTGATAAAGATCTGTATTGTATACTAAAACAGACGTCATATTTTCGAAAGTAAATCAAAAAATGTTGTATAATTCAACTCCTTTTATTGATTTCAAAATTGTTAAACTTTTTTTCATTTAATAAAAATTTAATTAAATTTAAATTAATTATAAGTTTTATTGTTTTAAATTCACTAAACATGAAATAATAATTAATTGAATTATAATTTGTATTTACTTCAAGCGCTAAATCTTTATTAAATAAAAAAGTTACATCTCTAGTTTTTTTTGTTAAATTTCAGATAATAATTAAAATTTTACAGAATTGAAAATAATTTATCAAATAATTTTAGATAACATTTGAATTTTCAAAGTTTTATAATTTAAAAATTTTTGAAATTAATTGAACTTCAAGTGATTTCTAATTTAAATTTTTAGTGAATTCTGTTAATGAAGAATTTATTAAAAACTGAAATTAAATTTCAAAAGTTTGTAATTGAAAAATGCTTTTAAATAATTGAATTTTTGAAGAAAATTATAAAAATCATTAAATTTTGAATGAGTTTCAGTTGACATTTTTAGAAATAATTAAATTTTAGAACGTTTTAAATTGAAATTTTTGACAATAATTAAATTAATTAATTTTGAATTGGAAGTTGTCACAATTTTACTAATAAATATTCAAAGTTTAGTCATAATATTAAAATTTTAATAAAATAATATAATATTATTTGGTATTTAATAATTATTTTTAAATTAAAAAATAGATAAAGAAGAATGGGTTGCATCAATAGTCGCACAGATATTAATGATCTTCACTCAAATATTTTTCAAGTGATGAATGTAGATGATTTTGGTAATTTGATTACTCCTGGACGTTTAGAAATTACTGATGTAGACATAGTTCTTTATCAAAGGGGAAAACAACTTGTAAAGTGGCCTTTACGCTGTTTGCGACGCTATGGTTATGATGCAGAAATATTTAGCTTTGAATCAGGAAGACGATGTTCCACTGGTCCTGGAATTTACGCCTTCAAATGCCGTCGAGCTGCACAGCTTTTTAATTTAGTACAAACAAACATACAGGTAAATGTTTATTAAATTTTGCAATGTTAGATATAAAATAAATAGTCATGTTTCTTTTTTTTAAACAATTTTTTAGGCCTGCAACAACAGTAATGAGGATACAATATCCAGAGAAATACAAAATAGTTCACTCTCTGGACCATCGATAAATCGTGCGCCACTACCAACAGAGCCTAATTATCTAGATCCAACACCAGTTAGAAACAATAATCATTCTGGATCAATATTTTCTCATAGTCAACAAAATGGAATTGGAAGATTAGGCAGCGTATGCAGTAGTAATGGACCAATGTCTCCTCAAGGAACTTTGGGATCTCCATCGCCACCTCTTACTTTACCACCTCCTCCACCAGTTCCAAGTTTAAATTCCTCTTCTCTTTATGTCAACGAGGAAGTATTATCAACAATGACAACTGAAATGGAGCATAATAATAATAAAAATCTTCGAAGGAGCATTCAGAGGTAATTTTTTTCAAGTTTTTTTTTACAATATAAATAAGTTAAACTAATTTAGCTACCATTTAGTTTGTAACAGGAATATTTATTTTGCGACTCTTCAAGAAATTTTGGTTGATTTACATCTTTTGGGGGACATTTAATTATTGATACGTCCCTGGAATGTTGCCTTAATATTAAATTAAAAACAAGAGAATAGTAACAAATCTTCACAAATATTAAAACATATATCAGAATTGAAAGAACAAAATTATTAAAATTAAAAGATGTCGACAAACAAAAATTTCAGTAGATTCTATAATGAAAATATTTATTAGTCGCTCATTCTTTTTGAGTTCGCCTAATTTAGCCCCCCATCTTGGAAATTAAAATTTCTATTAAATAAATTAATATTTTCAGGCCTTGGATTATACGACTTTTTCCGACTTTTTTTTCGAAAATACAATTTTTTTCGATTTATTTTGATAAGATGTGACTTTTTTTTTGACTTTTTAACATTCTTTACAACATTTTTAAACAAAGTACTCTTTTTTTAGTATATAATACAAATCTTCTTCAGATATATATTTTTTCCAATTATTTAACAAATTTTTTAACTAAAATTCTTATCTAAATTAATTATTTTCAATAATTTTAATGAAATTCCTCACAAATTCAATTCTTTTAAACTATTTTTCAATTAAAAATTTTATAAAATTCAACAATTGTTTCCAATTAAAAAAAAAAAAAATTACCAAATATTTCAATTTAAAATCTTTTAAAATTTTTCATCTAATAATTTCAGTTATAATTTTTCCGAAATTCAATTTTTTTTTTATTTTTATGATTTTTATAATATTTTTCTGAAATTTAATTAACTGAAAGCATTTTTCAATTTAAAGAAACGTTTGAAATTTAATTTTTGCCTGTTATTTCTAATAAATTTTTCAGTAACAGAAGTAACCGAAATTTTGAAACAAAAATCTCTTAAAGTTCAATTACTTCCAAAAATTTGAATTTTAAATCTTCAAAATATCTTCAAAAAAATAAATTTGAATTGTAATTTGTCAAAAACTTATTTTTTTTTTTAAAAATCTCAATGAAAACTAGTCAAAAATTCAATTATTTTCCGTAATTTAAATTAAATCTATCAAAAATTAAATTATTTAAAAAAATTTAATTCAATTTTGCTAAAAATTTAATTTAAAAAAATTTTAATGCGAATTTGTAAAATACGGACAAAAATTCAGTTTTCAAAGGTTCTAGTTCAAATCTGCCATAAATTAAATTTATTTATTTATTTATTTATTTAAAGTTATACACGGGCATGAGAAGCCCTATACATGAAAATGCAAAAATATAAATGTATATACATAATTGGACCAAAGGCGTCCAAAATCAAAAACAAAAGAAAAACTTTTAAGCAATGAACGACCTGGTATTATTAGAACGATTTTTAAAAAGAGTTGTGCGCAAGGATGTAATAAATTATTTAAAAAAATTTTTTTATTATCGGTCGAAAATTCCATTATTTTCAAAAAATTTAATTATTTTTCAAAATTATAATTATAATTGGTCTAAAAATTAAAAAAAAAAAATTTCAATGCAAATCAGGCAAAAATTGGAATATTCAATAATTGTTTAAAATTTAAAAAAAATTATCAATTAAAATTACAAAAAAATTTAAATTCAAAATCTCTTGAAATGGAATTATTTTCAAAAATTTCAGTTTCAAATCTTTTACAATTTAATTATTTCTAAAAAATTTCCATCTATTTTCATCTAAATTCAATTCTGTAAAATTTAATTATTGTCTGAAATTTAACAAAATATTTTGAAAATAAATTATTTTTTTAAAAAATTCAATTATTAAAAAAAGTTTTAAATAAAAACTCTAAAATTGAAGTGTTGTCAGAAATTAGGAAAAAAACCACAGAGATTTAAATTTGCAGAAAATTTACTTCAAATTTAAAATCTTTTGCAATTTCATTAATTATTTATTTTATTTATTTAATACAATAGTGATTCCGTGGTCTGCTTATTTAAAAAAAAAGTATTTAAAAATCAGGCCTCGGATTATTTGACTGTTTCGTTTATTTCCGACTTTTTTTTGAAAATGCGACTTTTTAATACAAAATACATTTTTTTAGTATAAAATGCAGATCTTCTTCAGATCTTTTTTATTTCAATTATTTAACAAATTTTTAAGTAAAATTCTTCACTAAATTAATTATTCTTTAATAATTTTAATGATATTCATCACAAATTCAATTATTTTAAACTATTTTTAAATTAAAATTTTTTTTATGAAATTTAATAATTATTTTTAATGATTTTTATAATATTCTTTGAAAAGTCAATTATCTGAAAGCATTTTGCAATTAAAAACATTTTTAAGTTCAATTTTTGTTTGTAATTTCTAATAAATTCTTCAATTATTTGAAATTCAATTATTTTCCAAATTTTCAATTCAAAATCAAATAAAATTTAATTATTTTCAAAAATTTCAATTCAAATTCAACTAAAATTCAATTATTTTCAATATTTAAAATTTTAAATCAACTAAAATTCAATTATTATCCAAAATTTCAATTGAAATTCAATTATTTTCAAAAATTTCAATTTAAAAGCTTCTAAAATTTAATTATTTCTAAAATTTTTTTAAATTTAATAATTTTAATTATAACTCTCCTGAAATTCAATTATTTTTATAATATTCTTCGAAAATTCAACTATCTGAAACCATTTTTCAATTAAAAATGATTTTTAAATTATTGTATTTTTGTCTGCAATTTTTAATAAATTTTTTAGTAAAATCATCAAAAATTTTTAATTTAAAATCACTTGAATTTCAATTAATTTCCATAATAAAAATTGAAAATTCAATTACTTTTAAAAAATGTTATCTAAAATTATTTGATAAATTATTTTTAGTTCTGTAAATTTTAATTATCGTCTGAAAATTAACAAAATCTTTTGAAATTCAATTATTTCTAAAAATTTCAGACTATAACTCTTCCAAAATGATTATTATTAGTTAAAAACAAATTTAATTTAAAAATCGGTAAAACTTTTTTGTTAAAATAAAAAAATTGACTTTTTTTGGAATATAAATTGACTAAAATGACTTTTTTTGTACTTTTAAGTCGATTCGAGGCTTAAAAAAATATGTAAAACTTAATTATTGTCCGAAATTTGATCATTAAAACTAAAAACTGTGATAAAACTAGTAATTCAAATAAATTACTTAAATATACGACTTAAAAAAATTAAAAAATTGAATTTTGAGAATATTTTTTAGAAATTTATTCTGGTTAATTAAAATTTTGAAAATTTGTCTTAATTCGATTCTGAAATATTCGAAATAAATTTTCTTGGTAATATTTTTATTAAGGAATGAATATAATGAATTTAATATCTAGTAACATTAGTTATTTAAAGTAAAATATTTGATATTTTATAAATTTGAATTCTTGAACCCACGCAGCTTTGATTCCGGACCCCTTAAAAAATTTTTTTAATTCATTTTTTTGTTTAAAAAACGAAAAAGAGATTTAAAAAAAGTTTTATGGGGTCCAGAACATAAAAATAATTTTTGATAATAATAAAACTCCTGTTTCAAGTTAAAAAATAAAAATATTTGCAGGTCGAGTACAATTACAAGTACAACATCAAATAGTGGTTTCGACAGCCAGTCAATACAACCACATCAAGAGGCTAGTAACCAAAGTAAATCTTCACAAGCAGCTTGCTACATGAATGTTAACATTGCCAGTGATACAAATTCCTTATCTCCTTCCCATAGTAATTCAGACTTTACTCCATTGAGAGATGATTGTAGTCCAATAGAATCAATTGAACATCCTTATATGAATATAAATCAGGGCCAAGATGTTGATGTTCATGTTACAAAAACTCGACCACCACCATTACCACGTTTACAATTGGAATGGGATGATGGCTCTAGACATTCATATGCAAATTTACAGTCAAGCGAAATAGAAAGTTTAAGAAAACGATTTTCAAGTTCTTCCGTTGCTGAAAAATCGCCACTGCCTCCATCAACTCCACCTTCATGTATAATCAGAGAAGTAAATTATGCCGTTTTGGATTTAGATAAAAAAGATGTTTCTGAAAATGTTGTTAGTGAAAATATAACAGCAAATACAATTTCAATACCTCCAGAATCGCCAAATAAAACTGTGAAAGGTTATGCCGTTATAGATTTTAATAAAACAGCAGCACTTTCACATTCTGTAAATTCAAATCTTGTGAATGACAATGAAGGCTCGCGAATAACTCGTCATAATTCAACGATAAGCGATATAGCTATTCCACTTAAATATAGTTCGTTTTTAAGCGAGTGACATTATTTTTATTTTTTTCAAAATAAAAATATAGGATATTTATACACAATAATACTCTCACTCTTAATTCAAAACGTAATTTTTTTTTTAATTGATATGATTAAATCAAAAAAAAAAAATCAACGAATTAGAATCAATTCAACGAACAATTTATATTATAAAACATATGGATTAAGAGTTTCGGATTCAATTTTTTTCCGGCCTAAAATGAGAGTATATTGTATATTAAAAAATTTAAATGAATTAGACCAAATATTTAAAAAAAGAAGAAAAAATTCTTTAATTGGCCACTGTCAAAATATTGTTAAATAGGTATTTTTATCTATAAATATTTTTTTTAACGAAAGTTTTAATAAATAAATCTATTGGTGTTATATAAGTAATTATAAACAGAACCAGACAATTTAATTTGTGAACTTTTTACATTATTATTATTATTACTATTAAAAATTTATTTTAAATCCCTGTAAAAAAGTATTATTATTCGCTAATAGTTGAAATTTTTTAGATGCTAATATAATGAAATATTGAATTATGAAAATTTCATAAATTTTGATTATAAAGAGATTCTATGAAGGAAGTATGAAAAAAATTTGTGGAAATATCTGTGATAAGAAGAAAATTGTGATTTTTTAATAAAAATACAAATTGTATATCAAGAGAAATATAATTTATATTGCTATGTAAAAAGTGCTGCATATTAGAAAACTATCACTATCACTTAATACTTTTTTACAGGGAATAGTGCCGCATCAGTATAAGTCCAAAAAAAAAAAATGATAGTTTTTTCTTCTTTATTGAAGACAGGAACCAGAAATAATGAGAAAAATAAGAGTAAATTATATTAATATCATAATATTATTATTATAATATCATTTACTCCTCTCTTTCTCATTATTTATGGTTCCTGTATTCAATATTCTTGAAAGCTTAAACACTCTTTGAATTATGCATTTGAAAAAAAAAATTATCTGAAAAGATTTCTTTTCTAAAATTTTTAAAATATTAAACAAGTGACAAAAAAATTCAATTTAATAGTCACCAAAGAGAACTGCAAAAAATAAGACTATAATCTTTTTTTTTTTTATTTTTCTATACAATTAAATTGTGAAAATATTTTACCAAGACTTCATTTGGCGGGGAATTTTTATTTGTACTAATTTTTATTTGATAAAAATTTTAATACGTCGAATTTTTATTTGACCGAACAAATATCCGTCAGAATTGGCGGGAATTTTTAAATTAATCTACACTAAAAAATTTTTGGTCCAACAGCTGCCCCAAAAGAAAAATTTCTATATTCAGTTAACTTCACTCATATAAAAACTCATGGCAAATATTAAGTATGAAATTAATTGATTATAGAAATTTTTCGTTTGAGGGCAGCTGCTGAACCAAAATTTTTTCAGTGTACACAATTTTCTTGATTTAATTTTAAAATTTACACCAAAACTATTATATCGAATATTTGTTCGTTTATTTTGCAATTTCGGTCAAATGAAAATTTGATTCGATAATTCTCTCAAATAGCAATTTTTACAAATAAAACTTTAGATAACTAAAGTTTCGATGATGTAATATTCATGCATCCCTTTTTAGCTTAATTAATTATTATTAATAAAATAATTATTACTAGATAATTATTGTTCCAACTTATTTTATTATATATTATGGCCTATAATATTTACATAATCTAATTTTTATTTAGACTTATTCTTATTTCATCTAATTCTTATCAAACGGAACGTATATTTAACAAAATTTTTGATTAAATTAATTTTTATTTTGACCTAATCTTTATGTAGTCTGATTATTTGATTTAAAGTTTTTATATCATAATCTTTATTTAATTTTTATTTAGCCTATTCTTTATCTACTTCTTATATGACATAATTTACATTTAACATAATTCTTAATTGATAAAATTTTTTCTTGTCTAATGTTAATGTATCCTAATCTTTATTTAACCTAATTCTTAAATAATCTAATACATAATAAATAAATTATTCCCTTTCATTAATAATTCAAAAGGTGGTCACGAGAAATTTTAGTTTTTTTTTTTTATTTATCCATGAAAAAAAGATTCGGGAATTGGATTGTTTTAAGAATGTGGATTCTTATTAGACCTAACCTCCATTTCACACTGATTTATGAACGCAAATGAGATAGAAAAGGATAGATATATATCTCCGTCCTTTTCTCTCTCAGACTTTGCGTTCATAAACGAGTGTCAAATGGAGGTTAGGTCTATTAAGAATTAGGTTAAGAAACTATTAGGTCGAATTATAAAGATTAGGATAAATATTATGTCCATCAGATTAGGCCAAATAAAAATATGAAGTTAAATAAAGATTATGCCATAAAAAAGAATTAGATTAAATAAAACACACAAAAAATATTGAAATAAGACTAAGGCAAATAAGAATTAGGTTATTTGACATAAAGAAAATGTAAAAAAAAGTAACAAATATCTCAACACCAAATGTTCCTAAAAATTGAAATGCAATATATAAAAATTAATTTTTAAAAAATACATTGAATAATCGACAAAACAAAAATGTTAATTTCAAGCTTTCAAGATGATCTTAAATAATTATATATATATATCTTGCGGCGACAAAAGGAATTAAAGAAAATAATTCTTGATTCCGTCTTGTATAGTTTATTATAGAAAATATTCTTACAAAATTCTGGTTATAATTAAGAAAGTCATAAATTTATACCAAAGATTTTATATTCATTTTTTATAAATATGCTGCAATGCAGCTTGCTTCCTTAGCATAAATAATATAATTATTTTTAAGTAAATAAAAACGCCAATAATTATATGCAGCCAAAGAGAGACTAAATGTGACAGTGATTGAAAAATTTCAATATTTCCTAACAGCGAATACTTTTTCACTGATCCCTTAAAATATAAAATTATATGACAAACATTACAACTGAATACAATGTATTATGAATAATAATATATTGCGGCTGTATAAGCTCTTTAATAAATTCCTTCAAGGGCAATTTGATAAAAGTGAATGTAAAATTTAATTTTTGTTAAAATTCGCAATATATATTTTCACTTAATTTTTCACCATCTTTTCAATTTTCCGTTGACACTATTAAATCACTTTAATTTTCTATTTTTATTTCAAATAAATCTAAAATATTAACCGAAACTGTCATCTATTGATAGTTGACGATTTTGGACTTAAACTTTAAAAAAAAAATTAATGTCCCAAAAGAGAATATTAAAATATAATTGTGTCAATGGAATGTCGAAAAGAAAAATCATCTTTATAATACAATGAAAAAAAAACCAGTCCTTAAATATTGATAAAAGGCATGAAATAATATATTTGAAAAAAGTGCTCAAAACATAGTTATTGTATATTTTCTAATTGTAATTCAATTTGTCAAGTTATTTGCAAACTTGTCAAAAGTTAATAAACGAAGAAAAAACAATATAAATTCGTTTTTTTAAGAAATATTTTTTTAAATGTAAAATATATTTTCCTTATTTTTTTTTATGAAATTCGACTGTTATTTATATTCAATTGGCATGGTCATCCTTTTCGGAATTCAGGTAGGAATTAGTCCTTTTATTAAATAAATTTCTAGAATTAATATATATTTTTAAGTTACTATAATATGTTCAAAAATAATTTTAGATTTTTCTGCAACAGAGATCTAGAATTATTATTATTACAATTTAGACATCATACCGCTAAGAAGAAAATATCCATTTATAAGAATAGATAATTTTATTTAACAAGAATATACATTAATTTATATTTTTACGTACTATAGTTAACAATTTATAAATATTTTATAATTTTGTTGTCGATTTTCATTTCGAAATCTTGACAAGAATGCATTTACACCTCAGTCGGAAAAATAAAAAATTATCCGAAACTTCGTTCGTACGCCGCTTCGCAAAGTTGTAATAAACTTTTTCAAGCGATAATTTTAAAATCTAAATTTGATTTAAAATAGATAAACATTAATTAATATTGACAAAGGTATAAATGCATTCTAATAAATGGTAACTCCGACTTGTAAATTATAAGCATTCAGACCTGAGATCATTCGTACTAAAATTGAGGAAAAAAGATTGCACGCCTGGGATTTTTTTTATTGAGTTGATTTTATATTTTTTTCACTAAGTTATAAACAATAAAATCCCGGGATATATTCTTTTGTCCCCAATGGAGGACTTCCAAGATTGTTAGGAATATACAAGGAGTACATTATTTTTATTTCACAGACTTGATGCAGTTAGGGATGGAATTTCTGTAAATTAAATTTTTTTTTATTATTATTTATTATAAAACAATAATTTTTTAAAATATTTTTATAAACATCAAATACAACATGCACATATTTTCTAATTTTAAATATATAATTATTTATTCAAAATTAATTTGATTATTATTTCTAAATTATTTTTTAATTGTTACGAGCGGAAGTTATCAAATACAACACACACACACACACACAACATTTTTCTAATTACAAATATTTAATTATTGGTGCAAATTAATTTAGAAATTATTTATAAATTCTCTTTAATTTTTATTTTGCAATCAAACAATATTATTTTCTTTCTATTTTTAAATATTTTTAATAGTAAGGAGTTATTACATTTATATTATTTTTCTTTTAATTAATAATTTTATTATTTCTTATTAAAGCAATAATTATATAACAATGTGATTTCATTGTTATTATATTTTCAAATAATGGAATTATAAATTTTTTTCTTTTATATTACATAGTAACACCTAATACATTTTTTTTAATATAACATTTATTATTATTTTCAAATAGGGTAACTGCACCAGTGGTGGATCAATTAAGCCTACTAAATTTATTATTTTGACTTTAAAGGTGTACAGATTTTTTCAGATGAAAAATATAGGGTAATCTTTACAATAGTATGCATTAACAAGTCTTCAAGGACACTATCGCGTAGTTTTCGACCTGCTTGTAACGTTTACACCCCCTCACACCCCCATTCAACAATAAAATGACATTGCTCCAGTCGTGGATCATTTACCCCTTTACACTACACAAAAATAACTTAATGATGTATATTTTTTTCCAGAAGTATTCTATATGGAAAGAATTGATTACTTTCTACTCTAAAAATTAAAAAAATTTAGACTAAACAATTATTTTTTAAGATTTCATGTGAAAAAGCATAAAATCAACAATTGTTGTATTGCTTTGTTTTCCTAAATATTTTCAAATGATTTTATTTCATAAAACTTATCTATACACCTCCCCTAAACGATTGAAACATTTAGTTCAATTAGAAATAGCTTATTTTAACCTTTTTAACGCTGTTGATCCACCATTGGTGCCTGATCCACCACTGGTGCATTTACCCTAATATTCAATTCATTTTCAAATAACATTAATCAATTCAAATAATTCAAATAGAGATAATTCGTAATTATTTTTAATACTATTGATAAAACATGTGGTGCCATCTGTGGTGTACAATTTTCACTAATAATTTTAAAATTAATTAATGAAATATAAAAAATAATTATTGTACTGTAATTATCATTACCTACAATGAAAAAAAGTAAAATGAAACTGTTTTATTATAAAATTAAAGAAAATTTTAATCTAAAACTATAAAAGAAAATAAATAATTGAAATAGCACTTCTGCCATCTATTGGACGAAGTGCGCAACTTGTTTCAAACTGGCGTTCTCCATTTTTTCAATGTCTTTTTTCGTAGCGGTGTCAAAATTGTAAGTTCGGTTTATTGCATAAATGTTGTCCAAATTCTCGTTAATATAACAAAATTATTAAATTTTTAGTCACTATTATAAAAATAAAAAAGAAGGAAAATGTCGACAAGTGAGTGTCAATCTAGTAGTGAAGAAGAAAAGGAAATCTGGAAAAAAAAGAAAGGGGAGGCTTCGCGTGTACCACCCTTTGATGCAAAATACATGGACCGCAATCCAGACAAAATAATAAATTTACATAATTATGTACAGTGTGTCGATAGTTTTGATAAGAAATATTGTAATTTGATTTCGCAAATAAAAGATACTAATGTTTTTTATTCTGAAATAGAGTTATTGGGTTGAGATGGATCATGGCCCATCAATATTATTATAAGAGGAATGTAATATCTGATTTAGTATATATTGATTTATTTGTTAAATGGCATAAAAGTCAATACAAAGAGGTTGCCGCTTTAAAATTTATACATTTTTAAAAATGAAGTTTTACAAAAAATATATAAATTTTTTAAATCCACAATATTTGTGGAATCTAGAATTTTCAAAAAGGAATCAATTGTGTTCTGTTCGTCGTAACAAGGGCAAATATGTTTCGCTCTCTCTTCGCGGAGATAAGGACATTCAATAAAAATATGGTAACATAAATTCGAAAATTACGAACCACAACCCTCGCAATATCCCTTGGCGGGTGTTTTGTAAAATTTTTTATTAATAGCCAATTTTAAGAAAAATTTATTAGAAAGACGGATTTGACATAATAACCTAAGAAATTTTATAGATATTTTTTGTACCAGATATGTTTTTGCCCCTATATTTAACATTAGATGTGGAAGCAGTTCTAACGATTGCGATTCTTGCACTTTTCTCGCATCTTCTGCTAACAAAAAATTGTCGAATTTTTTCAGCCATTTCGATTTGTTTGTCTGTAGTGTGACAATAGTTAGGTTTTTCCATTCTTCCGTTGCGTCGATGCCCTCAAAGAAAAAAGTACCAGCTTATACCAATTAAATTTACTTGAGACCTTATTATTGGAAATATTTTTTAAACGTTCGAAACACAATTTTGGAAATCTATCGTCATTCATCAACAGTATTTTTTCAATACAGCCTAAGAGAAGTCGAAACACACTCGCCGAAAGTTTTGTCAGTCCAAGTTCATACCTAACCGCGTAACCTGGTGTATTTTTCGCTAAGAATAAGACTTTTTTTATAGAAAGATGTCTGTATTTTTTCTATCTCTTCAAGATACCTGAGATTGATTCGCGTGTAGATTACAGGAAAAATATAGCGAACTTGATTGGAATTGATTAACATAGCGTTGTCAAGGAAAAACCATGAATTTTTACGAAAAATGCCTAAAAATGACTATGTACCCCCCCCCCTAGCGGCCACATCTTTTGACATAAAGAGCTCAAATTTGGTACACTTACGTATTTTTACGTGAAAATTACAGGAAAAATATATCGAACTTGATTCAGATCAATTTACATATAGCGTTGTCAAGGAAAAATCAAAAATTTCGAAAAAAATGATTAATTCTCCCTAGCGCACACAATATTCAACCAAAATTGTTCATATGTGCTGTAAAACTGTATTTTTGCGTGAAAAATACAGGGAAAAAATGTAAGCACGATTGGAGTTGATGATCAATTTTTATCAAATTTTTGAAGAAAAATGATAAATTTAAGAAAAAAATGTATTTTTCCGCAAAAAAGTTGATCTAAAGTGATTCAAATTTATATATTTTGACGTATTTTTACGTGTAGATTACAACAAAAAAAAGCGAGGATGATTGGAGTTGATTTTTCTGGGGCTGTCAAGAAAAAACTGATAATTTTAGAAAAAATCATGAATTTTCTCCCGAACAAATTTTTTCTAAAGGGCTTCAAATTTACTATTTTTACGTATTTTTATGTGTAGATTATAGAAATAATTTAATAAACATGATTGAGTTTATTTCTTCAGTCGTTACAACTCTAAAATAAAAAAAATCGGACAAGTGCGAGTTACACTCGCACTGAAATCGGGGGTTCCGTACTCGAAGCGAACTTATTTGGTATAAAAACAAATGTTTAAAAAATATGTGTTGTATGTCAAATAAAATAAGTGATACAAAAAGGAACAATTTTTTAAATTTCAAGAAAATTGTTCCTCTTCGTATCACTTATATTAGTTGTCATACAACACATATTTTTTAAACATTTGTTTTTTACCAAATAAGTTCACTTCGAGTACGGAACCCTCGATTTTAGTGCGAGTGTAACTCGCACTTGTCGGAGTTTTTGGTTTCGAAGATGTACATCTTTTTGTTTGGAACAACTTTTGT